GTCAAAAGTGCAGTACTCATTGAAGTAACCCTCAATAGTTGCGTTTCTTCTAAAGCCTTCAAAAAATAAATTATACACATATAAAATTTAACGATTATTCAATATAATATACTTACGGCCTGTAAATCATTTGGATTGCTAGTTAAAGTCAACCAAGTCATACGTAAATGAACCATTCCATGTTTAGCTTGCTCCAATGTGAGCCACTGAAATGAGATATATAATTCAATTGCCATTTGATTAAATAATATTAAATAAAATCATAAATACTAACCGTATCGATTTGACCTTTCTTTGCAACGCTGTTAACTTCAACCGTAGCTCTGCAAATCAATATATTGTTAATTTGTGGCCAAACCGAAGAGAAAATTCTTGTTATGTTCTTGCAATTTAAATAATAAATGATACAAATTTTCTATCTTGATTTGAATATAACCGAAATAAAAGAATATTTGGTAACAATAATATAATATTGTTACCAAAGATAAGATAACTGGTTAAGTTAATTCAACATCTAAAGAAAACTCAGAAGGCAAAAACACACTTGCCAGTACAAAAACTATATTTTCGAAATATCAATAATGTAAATAATGCTATTACAGTTGAATTTATATTTTTTAGTTTACAATCAATCTAAAATACTAAAATCACTCATAATATAAGGTGTATAGGAAAGCAGCATAATGAAAATTGTTATATTAAGCTTTTATCCAAAACCAGTATACTGTTAATTAGGATTATATAACATAAGTTGCTATCATATTTTTATCTAAGAGTCATTATATTCTTATAATATATTACCAATAAAAAATCTATAAAATATCACAGTCTTGAAATAAATTTTTAGATCTAAAGTATCAACTTAAATAAAAATATGATAGCCATTAATATAATTTCCATGCTATAGTAATTAGTTAAATTAACTACATTTAATTTGATTTAGTTCAGTCAAAGTTAATATAATTGTTAATATTACATAATGAAAATATTTTACATTTAGCTATCTACAAAATTTTGAGACTAGAAAATCAAAAATAACATCTTTTTTTAGAACTCTCTACGAAAGAACCTAACTTGTATCTTTGTAATAAATCTAATTTTTTTACTGTAACATGGAATGTTAAAGACAAACAATTAACAATTAACAATTAGCTAGGCGAATGCACAGAAACCGACCTGCCCAAGCTCTCGTCGGCAGTTCGGTCTTTGTCGTAGAGCAGGATTGCCAGCAGGGAGGAGTTGCCATCCTCAATTGCCATCTGCACAAGACCAAATTAAAAAGCCGTGCACTTTCAATTTCGCGATGTTATAGCAATAAATGGGTTTAAATTATTACTGGGAATTGGCAGCATAAATCATATATTATAAATATATATACAGCATACACATATAACACGAGTCAAAAGTGTTGGTAATGTTCAGGTGTTCGACAAAGCCATTTGGAAGATATAAAGTATCATTAGAAAAGCATTTCACAAAACCATGTATTATTGAACTTATTATGACAAGATGTATTCAATATAAATTCTTAACAATATTCGTGTTATTTATAAACAAATTATGAATGAGTTATAGTAAAATTCGAAAAATACGAGACTTCACAAAATATAAAAAGTAATATTTCATTTCTATGAATTTTTTTATAAATCAATATATAAATACTCAATGCGAATATCTTTTATACTAATATTAGAGCGGTCCTTAATATAGACATTTTCGAATTTCCTTGCTCCTAAAGGCTCAAATGATTCCAAATTGGTAAAAAACAATTCTATGAAAGTGTTAGCTCTTAATATTGTTTTTTAGATAGTGTGCAATTTAATCAAAGTTTTGTATGGAAATAGCATGAAATTTTTTTCAAAAATTTTAAAAATGTTTTTATATATAATTTAGCGAACAAATGAATGAGTTTTATTCAAAATTTGTCGCTAAGTTATACCTAATTTTTTTTTTAATTCTCAAATTTTTTTTCATGCTATTTTCATACGAAGTTTGATTGAATTGCGCACTATTTAAAAGTTAATATTGAGAGCTAAAACTTTCCGAGAATTGTTTTTATCAATTTGGAATCATTCGAGCCCTTGGAAGCAAGGAAATTCGCAAATGTCCATATTAAGGACCACCCTAACTTATGTAGTTTATATATAAATACATCGCATACCATTCAAAAGCTTTAAAATTGTCTTGTTATATTTGCATTAGCTTCAAAGCATGTTTGTATGAAAATACGTATCAAAATGTAAACATTTATTTGCAGATCGAATAAAATAAACAACTTTCTCAATAGAACAATAAAGCATTTTAGTTCATTAACATCAAGTAATATCACAACAACTGGATTATACTTTTTAGAGTATAAATTTTGGTTAAAGAAGCTAAATAGCTAAGAAAGTTGTAGTTGCACTAAAGAAAGTTCGTAGCTTCATACTTCTAATATTGTAATTATTATTGCAGTAACGAATCGGATACTACTACTTTGATTTAAAATTGATGCCAATAATAATTACAACGGTATCCTTTATTTTATATATAACGTATATTTACATATGACTCAAAACGTGTAGTAAGAACTTCGAAATTTAAAGATTCATTTATAGATTGTTTTTAATAGTTTGACGTATATAATCTAATAATTAAATATATTAACTGCATCAAGATTTAATCAACAATTATTTTAAATATATGGGCAGATATATATTCCATATTGCGTAAGTTCTCACTTGCGTTGGGCGTCAATCAATGACACCATGGCTAATAACGACTTGTCTACCCAAGTAAGAATTTAATCATTTTTTTGAAAAATATTTATACGTAAATAGATTGTGTATTTATGTAATAATGTACATATACACACGTGTGTGTGTGAGGTTTTATCAAAGTCAATCAAAAACACACCCTCCCGAAGAGAAAGCAAGCTAAAAATCTGGTTAGTCACCAAAAAATATCAGAAACTCGCCAAAGCGCAAAGCGTTTTGCAAACCGTTCAGATTAATTGCAGAGACCTGCCCAAGAAATCATCATTCTGTGCACCCGGAAATCCCGGATCCCAATCCCACAAATCCAACGCAACTTCTTGACGCTTTCTCGAACTAATTTCTCCCTGTTATCGTCATATAATATAATAATAAAGTAATATATACCAAAAACATAGCGTTATATAATAATATAATAGATGAAAAATAAAGGAATGAGAGGAACTTTATCATTTCACATTTATTTTGAATGTGAACCAGCTCAACTTCATAATAAAAAATATACAACAAAAATATTAATGAAAATATAAAGTTAGAATGTATATAAATCAGCGTGTTTTTTAACGACGTGGACAAAAAATGAATGCTTATGCTGAAAACACAGAATATGGTAGATTAAAAAAACAACGCAAGAACTTACCTTCATATTACATTTTGCCTACCACCTAACAAAACCATAACCATACATTTATAAATGAAATAGCTATGTATTTAATAAATATAAAAACGTTTAAAATTGAACTGTAGTGAAGTATTGAAAAGTATTTCAATTAATGTTTGCTGTTTCGTGTAATTTTGTGGTGTTAATTTTGCCTAATCTAAGAGCATACTTTTTAAATATACTTACTACACATGACTAAATACTTGGGTCAAATTTGATAATACAGATTGGTTCTTTGCAAAATCAACTTAAATTTTTCTACAATAATGTGTTAAAAAAATAAAATGAAATTGTAAAACATTAAGAACAATTTCAACTATGATAAAAGCAGCATGCAAATATTAATTGTACACTCATTCGGCCTAAATACTTTGTGCGAATCGGTGAAGAGTTAATATGCAATATTAAATTTTTGTACGAAATTATCCGTAAACCACATCTATAAAATGATTATAATGAATGATAAAGCAGGGAAGGTAAACTAAAATGATCTAATATTAATGTAATTTACGGATAACTTCAACCCAGTACCGAAAAGCGAAAAGGTCGTTCACCAAACTGGGATTATTCTTTTTAAAGGTGCTCTTAAAACTGACCTTCCAAGACTCTCATCCTTTTTAGAGATATCATCTTTGTCCAATAGTTGAAGGAATAATGTCTGACCTTTCGACTCCAAAACGCCCTGCGTTCCGTGCATTCAAAACAAAAACCAAATACAGAAAACAACACATTGAAAAAAAACAAAATTTTGAAACAAACGGTTGAAGAAAGTTTAATAAGTAACATTTTATGAAGATCTGAAATTTCGTATTGACGCCCTATAATTTTTTAAGCTAATTTTTAAATGTACGAATTTATTAATTCGTAGAGAAAGTAATGAAGTAAGCTAGCAATAATAACATATTTGCGATGGATTTCGATTTAGCAATGCCAATAGCTGCAAATAAAATTGGCAGTTTTGAATATGCATTTAAATTAAATCAAAAACTAATTGCCTTCAGCAAGTGATATAATATTCATGATTTTATTTCGTTGGAAGATGCAATTAAAAGCAGAGAGAAGTATTGCAACAGTTCCATTCTATATAAAACACGGCAAACGATAATGTTACTATTATACAAAAAATATGTATATCAAAGATCATAACAAAAAATTGTCGTTAAGGCTTATTATAATGATTGTGGCAAATATATAAAATTATGTAAAGCTTTTGTTCCTGTTTTGGACATCGTACAAACATTCACGACAATACTATATGTAATCTGTTTCAATAGGTAAGCTAAAAAAAAGTTATGAAAAAAATTCTATTGAATGCATTTATAAAGTGCACGCTAACTGCATTTCACGCAAAAAATATGTATGTCACAAAAAGGCAATTAACGCATGCGTTAAGAACCAAACTGTGAAAAACTAAAAAAAAGATATTAAACACGGTTTTATCTTGGATATTTTGAAATGTTACTGTAAAAAAATAGTTGATTAATGACCTTTTTGATAACCTAAACTAACTGATTCAGCTATTAATCTTAGTATAATGATGAGCTTCTGTTCTCATCTCTATTTAGTTCTATTCTATTTTATCTTTATTATTTACAAAAATTCTTGACATTTATCTCCTATAGTAAAATTGCTACATAAAATATTTTAATGTTTACTGATGCATTTTTAATACAATTGAATCAGACTTACTTCATTCTAAAAAATATTTATAGTATTTTCTTAAACCAACCGCCCTTAGATTAAAATTTCCGTTACCAGGCTTAAAATTTCTTGCTTAATAATTATTAATCGCAGATTATATTCAATCATTTTCAAATGATAAATCATTATAATTTATTCCGCAAATTTTTAACGAAAAATTGGCAACTTAACGTGTATCTGCACTCGTTTTCTTCAAATGAAAACTTCATATATTTTTATTTTTATCAATCTATTTGTTTTAGTTATAAAAGAAATCTTTTGATTGTTTTGATTTGAAGAGCACGTCAAAATACATCAGTAAACAACTATAACTAAATCTAATCTTGAAACTATTGTTAAAGAAAACTCAATGGTAAAAAATACTGCTGTTAAAAACTCGAGTTAAAATTTTGACATAATAAAGGAAAAAATAAACATGTATAACAATAGAAATTAATTAGACCACTGACCTCACACCAATAGTCCCACTTTGGATCGACTGTATTATCAATCGTTTGTGTGCGAAATTCTTGTGCTCCAACAGTAACAATAGCATAGGGATCGCTTTTGCCTTTTCCCAGAACTCCAATATCCTTCTTCATTAAATGTTTAGCTTCAACAACATGGATTCGTAGCACGCCCTATCATATATCAATAAAGCAGAATATATTAAAAAAAGTATTCCAGAATATACTTTAGAAACATATGCAAAATTCCCTAAAGGTAGCACAAATTTCAGCAATTAGAGAATGATGCCAGAACTGGGATAAATATATTTTAAATTACATAAATTAATAAATCAAGCGATAATTACCTCAGGTTCTGGCATTTTCAATGTCTGTGCGGGTATTTCATCACTCATCTGTATAGCCATTTTATTTGGCAAAACCATCATAGCAGCTACTTGTTCTACAATAATACGTCGCAACAAGTCACTGAAAAAGTAAAAAATACAATTGTATAAAAACTTTATATCAATATAATACCTTCACCTTATCCATACCTTAGTCCAGGCATATCCAATAAGTCGGCAACTCCAACCAAATTAAAATCAATACTTGGATTATTCAAGAAAAATACTTGAATACCTCCAAATAATGGTATTTTAGATATCAAAGGCTTTAAAACTACTCGTACCATGCCATGTATCTATTAAATTGTGAAATTAATTATTAATTAAATTAGTAAAGTATAATAATAACAATGCTTCTTGTTTGTTTAACACAATATTTACCTGAAAATCTCTTATTCCTCCTTTAATTCCTCCCAAAACAAAAGTTATATCACAATTGCCAGCATAACTAAAATAAAAATAATCTATTTTAGAAAGTTGTCAGGAAAAATTAAAGTAATAATTATGATTACATACAATATATCCATATCCATTATGACTTCATTCCTATCAACATTTCGATCATATACTTTAACACCACCAATTCTGGGAGGCTGCAAAATAAAACAAAATTCAAAACTTAAATCTTGACGCAAATATATTAATTTTTTTAATAATACTCACAATAGTTCCAAGAATTAAACGATCAAATTTAAAGCCATGGAGTTTGTATTTAGCAAGAGCAGCAGCAACGGAAGGTTCAATACTATCTTTTATTAGGCCACGAGCATAATGGTTCACATTAGGCCAGACTTGTCGAAGAATCTAAAACAACAATTTTGATAAAATTATTCAAAATCTAGTACTCAAAATCTAAATATATTGAATCTTACCCTGTTTAACCATTCAGCTCTTTCAATATCTGGGAAAAATACCTAAAAGAATATAACGAAATTAATATATACTAAGTGTTATTAAACAGAATTAGTGACATAAAATATTCTCATGTGGCTTTAAACAATTCTTATATTTTATCATTATACTTTCAATTGTAATTAATATATTAGCACCAATATTAATTGTTGATTAAAACTTAAAAAAGCATTTTTTCAATCTATAGCTTATAAATCTATTTACCCAAGCTGGTAAATCATCAAGCCGAGCTAAAATCACATCTTTTTCACTTGCTAGAGCTGAAGCTTTGGCAATATTTCTCCTCATATCACTTTCCTTCCGCCACTCGTCACGAGCAACAGAAAGAAACAGTGGAGCTAGTAAAAAATCGATTTATATAAAAATGTTAAATTAATAAAGTATTATATTTTTGAATCCTTATAATAGAAAATCAATATAATAACTAATACAAAATGCTTTACAATAAAATATAGCAAAGTTCATTATCTTTATTGATACTTGAATTACTTTCAACCTAATTTAGCTTTTACTAAAATATAATAGAAATAAAAACAAATGGTTATACCTATTAGCCATGCCACAGACCAGCCCATATATCCTACAAAATAAACAGTTCCAACGACAATAATCTTTTTCGCCAAGGAATAAATCCATGATCCCACAGAACCATAAGATCCAACATGTGGAGAAGGTTTGGACGGATCCAATTCCTTACTAGCACCTGCCATATCTTCTTCACTATAAATTATATAATTAATAATATATAATAAAATAATTATGTTTAATAATTTAATTTGCAATTTGTACAAATTATCAGCATTTTTTATTATTATTAAATATTAGATTTAATTAATGTGAATGAAACTGTAAAGTAACAGGACTTTAAATCCATTGTTAAATTGCAATATAATGCATCCAATGAGATAGGTTAGTCACAAAACTTAATATTTATTTGATTGTTGTTGAATGATTACTTATAATCATCGAACTATAATAAACAGATCTTATATATATATATATATATATATATATATATATATATATATATATATTGATAGCAATTATGAAACGTAATTTTAAATTATTGTTTTAAGAACTTTGTGAATATAGTTTTATTAAGTAGTACATTTTTGTTACAATCGACTAATTGTCAAAAAGTAATTGGTAAACAACATTTCAATGATGATGACATATAATAAGAAACCATAAAGAACCAAATAAAAAGCTATATAAAAAAGAAATGATATAATTATAAAATAATTTAAAAATAATTTCAAATTATAGATGCCAATCAAATGTGATTTATAAATGGACATAATAGAATGTGTGCTATTACACCCTGGTATAGTTGAAGATTTTGTGCAAATAAATGTTTTTATAATAAACTAATAGATATAATATATAATAATATATTCAATATATATATATATATATATATATATATATATATATATATATATGATTTAGTAGTTAATTTTGATGTGGAGATATTTGAGTAAGTTCTTTAAGGGCGATACATCAAACAAAGAAAAACAAAGATTTATAAAATAATCTCTAATTCTAAACGTTTCGACATACAATTTGATGTCATCACCAGTAGATCCATAAATTAAAAAATTAAAAAAATTATATAAACTATAGGAATTATAATTTTGTGAAGAACCTATAAATAGAAGATAAAAATTAAGAAATAACAAAACAACAACACTTATCAAATTAAAAAGAGAAAATAGAATAATAAAGTAAAATTTATATATATATATATATATATATATATATATATATATATATATATATATATATGATGTGTCTGCATTGTAAGACCTTGAATAAGAAAATATGACATTTGAAATGTTAGCAAAGGGCTGACAAAGCACAATGGGGACAGACGTAAAACGTTGACAAAACAATAAAAATCGTACCTCATTTTGGCGAAACCAAATCTCAACAAATAACTAAATAATAATCACATAAAATGGTAAAACATAACCTCTCTTGTAACCAAGTGTTTAGTAAAATAAAATTTTGGAATATATGCACCCCACCTTAGTTATACCAATCAACAATGAATAATATATTCTATAGTTTACTCATGACCAATAAATTCAACATTCCAACACGTCTAGAAAATTAATATTTCGTTCCCAAAGCAATCTTTGACAGCGATACAACAAATCGACTGATAGCCTTTACGTATGTGTGAATCTAGTTAGATTCCGTCGTTCGTAGCGCATTACGTCATGAGTTATATTTACAGCTTTTATAAACAAGATTCTTAATTCTTGTTTAGTATGATTCACTTAAACTTGTAAAATGATAAAGCAGATCAAATAAAGATTATAGCACCATTTTGTTTCCGTTATCACTGTAAAATTATTTGTCTTATCAATTGTAAAAATGCATAATAATCCACTTATGAATGAATCATATCTTAATTTTCCGAATTAACTTATTTATTTTTGACTTATATTTTAAAAATTCACAATAATTTAAAAATTAATTATCATATCGTTATAGTTTTAACAGTTCTGTATGAATTTAACGAGTCCTGTTAAACGAGTCTGTATGAATTAAACGAGTCCTGCCGTTATGCTGGCTTCTTAATGAAGTTGGCTTTTAAAAGTTGGCAACCCTAAGGGTAGCCAAATATCCGTATTGTGAAGTTAGTCATAAATGATTATTAAAATTTTTGTGATAAATTTAAATTTATGGGTAAAAACGGAATTTTTCAAAATTTGATCCCAATTTTTGGGTCAATGCACGACACATTAGAATTCATTTCAGAGGTATGGTTTTTTCGGCAAAATATCTTAGTTTGATCCCTAGTATCCAAAAATCATATGTGCCTATTCGACTTTTTTTATATATATTTTTTTTCATCAATATCTTGACATCAAGATGCACAGGCGGTTATTTAACATGGAATATTTGATTCCAGTCTGGGTAGCCTACACAAACTCCTATAATAATATCAGATCAAATAAATCGCGTTATCACTATAAAATTATTTGCTTTCTTATCAATTTGTTGAAATCCTCCGATGATCTAATGCTGTGATAATAAATCAATTACCAATTTATTGATTTACTTTATTAATTTATGTATTACTTATTCTGAACATTATCATTATTTGTTCTAAGTAAAATAATTTTTGAGACTTACACACTTTTCTTTTTGTTATCAGTTTATATAAATTTACAAAGGTTTCCAAAGATGGTCTGCATATGCGGCATATCTAATATATTAGATATCTATAATATATATTAGAATATAAATGTCAGAAAAATTATCAGCCACAAAATCACCGCACGCAATTATAATTATTTTTCATAAAACATAACCCAAGCTATGTATAAAAATGTTTTTCTTCAATATTTAATAAGCATTTACTTTCCAATTCCATTCTTTCAAAATAGAACTACAATCCAATTTTCACTGAGCAATTGGAGAAACAACAGACTTATTGGATTAAAATATTGAACATATGAACAAATGCTCTATATAGTAAATAGATATAGTAGGTTCAACGCAATACAATTTTTTATATCTATATATATATATATATATATATATATATATATATATATATTATATATATATATATATTCAGTATTTTATGAAATATATTTCCAATAATTGAAAAAACTCCAAAAAAATATGGGTTTATATATAAACTTATTTTGAATCTGGTAACATATCAGCAACTTTCTCTCGTAACCAATAATGGACTCAATTTCAAAGAATATTTAATAAATTAATTAAATTAATTAATATCTTAATTAATCATAGGTTTAAATCAGTTTTGAAAGTAATGGATTTGATTTACTTATATTTCTTATTTTTATCACAAAATCGATCATTATAGCTTGACCTTGCAAAATTCAAAGATTTCACAAAGCCATCCCCCAATGTATATAGTACAAAATACGGAAGCTACTAATATATCATAGGTCAGATTGAGAAAATCGGATTAGAATTAATCTAATTAACTTCAGAAGGATTCGAAAATTTACAAATAAGATTGTACTTCTGTAAAAACAGAACTCGCTCATTGTCAGTTCAGTGTTTGGCCAAGTTACCAAGAATGGAAACCACAGCTACCGGCGTGGTCCAATACGGGCCCGAATATTCGGCCTACAAATGGGATCGTTTCAATGCGGACCCGTGGGCGAATATGACTGTAGTTGATAAGGTAAACTTTAGAACTAATTCTGCAATGATACTTATTTTATGTATATGTGTTTGTATCAAGTATTTTCTGGAAAACACTCCAATGCAATGAATGTAACGTTTGCCTAAAAATGTATATTTGGAGATAAGGTAGATGTTATATTCAGTTGTATTGAACCAAATAATATCATTGAGATAAATTCAAAATCAATCACTGATTTAATTTTTCTTATCTAAATATATGTATCTAAAATATTACTATTATTTTGAGGTCCCGCCGGAAATTCTGCACATGGTAGATGTCCACTGGTACCAGTTTCCTCCAATGAATCCAATGTGGCATAGTATACTAGGTTTTGTTATTGGTCTCCTCGGTATAATATCATTTATAGGAAATGGAATGGTTATATACATTTTTACTAGCACTAAGCAGCTGCGAACTCCTTCAAATCTATTAGTGATCAATTTGGCTGTGTCCGACTTTCTGATGATGTTCTGGATGTCACCACCGATGGTTATAAATTGTTACTACGAAACTTGGATACTAGGCAAAATGATTTATAAAAAGTCAAATTGTAGATTTGCTCTATAATTTATATAAAAATTTATTTCCAGGGCCCCTAATGTGCGAACTTTACGGTATGTTTGGATCGCTCTGTGGATGTGTTTCAATTTGGACAATGACTATGATCGCTTTTGATCGATATAATGTTATAGTAAAAGTAAGTTGACTAACTTAAACTGTATTTTATATCATTTTTCACAACCAATAACTATGTAGGGTCTTGCCGCGAAACCATTGACGAATAAAGGGGCAGTTTTGCGAATCTTATTAGTTTGGATATCTTCTGGCCTATGGGGAATTGCGCCTTTCTTTGGTTGGAACAGGTAAACAATTCAAATTAATTAATTAATATAATCGATTATTTGATTAAAAACAATTTATCAAACAGTTCTATTCTTCCTTAGGTATGTTCCCGAAGGCAATATGACAGCTTGCGGTACTGATTACTTGAATAAAGACTGGTTTAGCAGATCATATATTTTAGTGTACTCGGTTTTTGTATATTACTTACCTCTATTTTGTATTATATATTCCTACTTCTTTATAGTGCGAGTAAGGGACCTAAAATAATTGTTAAAGTATGAATATTAAATAAATATTAACAAATATTTGTTTATAGGCAGTTGCTGAACACGAAAAAAGCATGAGAGAACAAGCTAAGAAGATGAAAGTAGCTTCTCTTCGATCTTCCGGATCTGGTGCAGGCGCTAGCGACAAAAGTGCAGAATTTAAATTGGCCAAGGTTGCTCTCATGACTATTGCGCTTTGGTTCTTTGCATGGACACCATACTTGGTAAAAAATAATATTTATTATGAATTATTTATTTTAAATAATTACTTACTTTAACAAAATTTATTTAGGTAATCAACTATACTGGAATTTTTGAAACTTTTACAATCAGCCCATTGGCAACGATTTGGGGCTCCTTATTTGCTAAAGCAAACGCTGTCTACAATCCGATAGTTTATGGAATCAGGTTAGAGAAATTATTTATATTAAAGTTCAAAATTTAAATATTCAACTAATACATTATTTAATTTTATAGCCATCCTAAATATAGAGCAGCTCTATTCAAGAAATTCCCGTCATTAATGTGTGCTCCAGAACCACAACCAGAAGTCGATCTACAATCATTAGCTTCCGGAGTAACAGCGGTTTCGGAATAATTCTTTGCTCGATTACTAATATTAACATTGGTTTTATAAATAGAGTAAAAGTACTTGAAATTATTTTTGGAATGGGCATCTTGAACTATTTCGCTGAAGCTTAATTCGCCGTCAAAAACATCAATATACGGATTTCAATATGTTTAAAGATCAAAACGTAATAAACGTCCGACTTAAAAAATTTGCTAATTGAAGTTCACATTTCCACATTGTAAATAATCAACGGTTAATCGACACCAATTTAATGATTTTTTTCACTATGAATAATAATTGGTCTAACTGCCAAAATTATATTCACAATGGTAGGGTTAGTGTCCATTTAAACTTCGTCATGCGATACAATATTTTAATTAAAATGCATATAATTTTAAAGTCTTGCCTTAAAATTTTTTGAATAAAATATCACTAAAGATTTTAAATATACATTACGTTGAATTCTAAATAAGACCTAACTTATTAAGTATTTTCAAACGTTTGTATACAATAAATACGTTTCTTATTAGCAAATAATTAACAGTAATTATATGTTACGCGTGATTTTACATGAATTAGCAATTCAATTAGTTAGTACAATTTTTTTGAAAATAATTCTGTAAAAATATGAAATATATTAGGAATGTATGGTATTACTAATAAAGAATCTACAGAATCATGATCAATATGCATTTCTATTTCAGCATTTAAGTATATACATTTTTTCATATAAATAATCAAATAAAAATCGTTTTATTTACATGTATGTATTATTATCTGACATAGGGAATGAATGAATTAATGAGGTTCCTTATCTATGAATGAGGTCATCTTTCCTTGCGGTCACCTTTCATAGTGGTTGGTACAATTGCAATGTCCCGCATTTCCGTCTGTTTTGTCATATACTGATAACGTAATATCCGCACGCCTTGCATTGCTTGGCATGCGACGTTGAACACGTGACAGGCAAACAGTAAATTGTTTTTTGGCTGGATTTTAACAGCAAAATGCATAAAAAGTAACGAATAACCGGTCAGAGCTGTCAAGAATGGAATTTATATTGTAAAATCTTATTTCAAACTGATTAAATAAAAGTTAACAATATACCTATAGTATTTGCCGGATTAACATTTTCTGCACTCTCATGGTAAATATGGTAAAGGGTTCCTATCGGTAAAGTAAACGTCAGCGCTGGCGCCCAAAAATGTGTACTAGAAATAAGTGATGAATCACAAATAATTTAGTAATAAATTTATTATAATATATATGTACCTTAGAAAATATTCTGTATATTTTGGGGTCAAAAATTGATTTAAAAAATATTTAATACTGTTATACATTTTATATCAAATACATGAGCTTTTGCTTTTGTTTTTTCAATGGCTATTTGTGATAAAAAACAAATTTAATTTGCATAAAAAAAATGTAATAAAAACTGAGTAAAACATATAAGATATAGAATTTATTATATATAATTATATATTGAAATCTGGTATTTATATCATATTACAATGAGCTCTAGTTTATAAAGTTTACTCCATTCAAAGCTGTTTGTAAATGCTTTACAAACAAATTCATATAATGTTTCCATCTATCTCATATAATGAGCATAACCTCAAAAAATTTGTGACTTAAATTTTCATTCCATAAATCTTTTAAATTAAAATATATTAGACTAGTTTTAAAATAAACCATAATAGAAATAGTCAAAATTGCTTTTTATAAAAATATGTGGATAACAGTACGTTACAAAAATTATTATAAAAAATATAAAAATAAAAGCAATTTTTGATACACGATCATCAATTATGCTACATAAATTCTTGATTAGATGTTGATATGCCACTGGCTTCTTCATAGCCAGTTTTAGTGTCACTTTTATTTCTGGAAGATTTTTTTTCCTTTTTATGTTTACTATGAGAGTCTTTGCCATTCTTATGGGTAGATTTTTTAATGTCCTTTGAATTATCTTCCTTAGCCGCTTTTGATTTTTTAGGTTTGTCAGACTTGGATTTATGTTTTTTCTCATTATTCTCTGTAGTTTCCAGGAATGTTTCCTTTTTATGTTTTTTAGGTTGTTTTGTAGCGGGCTTAGTTAACGTAGGAAGCAATTCATCCTCGCGCAGTGGTCTGCAACAACAATTAGTCTACTATTATATTTGTAATTGGCATAGAAAATAAAATATAAATAAACTAAAAATCCAAATATGAATTTATATAAGTTTTTGAATATATTTCAAAATTTGTTAGACTAATCACTTATGTTATATTTGAAGAATTTCTTTAATATCAGCTAGAGTAAAGCTTAATAGTTACACATTCACCACAAACAGATACTACATAAACTTACATGTCTAAATCTATATCCAACGCTCTATGAGGATCAATAAAATCATGTTTAGATAGATTTTTATCTTCAGAGTCTGACAATATAGCTCCTTCTGGCATTTCAATAGTTGTATTCACAATGTGTACTTGTTTAGTATCTAAAAATCGGTTAGTTGTTAAGAAATTTGTTTCTAGAAATTTATTCATTATTTTATCACCTGTATTTTCATCACTTTCACTCGAAGTATAATCTACTTTTGTTTTAGTTTTATTCTTCTTAGATTTCTTGTTTTTCTTCTTTTCAGATTTTTTTTCTGATTTCATTTGTAAATATTTATCTGAACGTTTTGTTGATGTAATTTGTAAAGGCACGTCTAATGCTAATTCCGCTATTGGAATTGTCTCCACTTCATTTATCAATGATGAGGAATCATTATATACAACTCTATTGTGTCTATTAGCCTTTTTATAAGAAACATTTGTTGAAGAGCCTTTAAGATAATGAGGATTATTGCTCTGTTCAAACTTCCGCATTTCACGAATCTATATTTTAACAAATCATATATTTTAGCAATTAGCCTAATTATTGTTAAAAAAATTACGATTATAAATATTATCACTGAAATTAAGTACCTTATTAATTTCCTCGGGATCTAGTTCCTTCTCCTGTCTCTTACTTGTTTGATACCCATCATCTAATTTATTATTGGCAGTAAATATATCTGTGCATTCATCTGATGAAGATGAACTGCTTTCACTAGGTGGTTCATTTATCCACTCATCCAAATCCAATCTTAATTAAAATAAAATAAGTAAATAAAATAAATCAAAATAACAGAAAAATGCATATTATATTATTATTACCCTTCTGGAATTTGAACTTTTCTTTGAGCCTTCAATGCTACTGGATTTAACTCGCCTTTAAATAAAGATGAAACTTCCTTGATAATCTCAAAATCAACCGACAAATTTTCTGTTTCGGTTTCAAGTTCACCATTTGTGATACTAGTTGATACCAAATCACTAGTTACATTTGAAGTGGCCTCTTCTGGATTTTTTCCCAGAAGCACATCTTTAATATATTGCACTAACATGATTGCCGAACTTGCACGTTCTTGAACTTCAATATGTCCAGACATTAAATAAATAGGCAGACCCTCTATGGTCTTATCACATAGCTGAAAAAATCAATATGATTTTTTAATCAAATATTTTTTTATTCACTAACAAGTTCAGTACAATTTCTTGTCTAATAGACTCTCATAAAATTTATAACCATTAGAGTTCCTTTATTTAATTAGAAAAAAATATGAGAAAAATTGTTTCTTTAGTACCTTTATCATAGCTGCTTTATCTCCACTTTCAGCATACTTGTCAAATAAATTTGATAATATTTTTATAATATTGTGAATATAAACTGCTGTAATATGTCCAGGAAGGGTTCTTTGTTTTAAAAGTATATCAAGAACATCTTCAGGAGATTCTAAATCACTGATAAAAAAATACATAATTAATTCACAAAATTAGTAATTATTTTAATAATGCAATGTTTATATACTTAGAAAATTCTCCAACTATCCATGCTGCAGCATAAAGAACTTCTGACATATTTCCTCCACTAAAATAAAATAATATTTAAAAAATAAATATTGAACATAATTTTATAGCTTTGTTACCTCGTGCTCGAAATGACCATGGTAGAAATTAATGAAGACATTTCTTGAACAGCAAACTTGCGAACAGCCTGAACTCTAATCGCAACATCTAATATCTGTGTTGCAATTATTTTACCTGAAACATTCAATAGATTTTAATCATTCTAAAATTTATAATGTTATTAACAGAAATTTATAGAAGGCATACCATGTTTCGAACCAGAATCTAATTGGGTCAGTTCCACTAATACTGTCAAATACCATTCAAAATTAGTCACATATTGATATGAACCCTGTGAGCAAATTTCTATAACTTTGCATAATAGTTCATCTCTATATGTTGAACCTTCAGCACGTTCCATATGACCTAGCAATCTTTTCACAATTTCCATCAAGTTTTTCTTTGAAACCTTAAATACAAAATCATTAAATTAATATTAAAAAAGTACAAAAACAAAATATAACAAATACTATAAGTAACCAAATGTACAACACATGGCAATTAGATTCTTATTAGATTACCATTCCATGTAATAAATCCAATGCCCTTAAGCGAATTGACTCATCTTTATCATCTAAACAAGCAAGAATTAAATCCTTGTGAGCTTGAACACTTTTAGGATGTGTTTTCAAAATCTTAGACATTGCCAGCAATCCAAGATATTTCACTAAAAATATTCAAAAATATTATTCTTTCATTTCAATAATATTATATGTTAAGACCTACAATTCTGATCAGAATCTTCAATTAATATTCTCAATTTTTGTACACAGAGCTGAATCGCAGCGGAATGGTTAGGCATGCCACTTGAGATGGATATTAGAACTGCTATTACAGTATTTATGCATTCGTAAAGAAGACTCATTGCAGATGTGCTGTAAAAATACAAAAAACATAACAATCATATTATACTATACTCATTCAGTGAAATAAATTGAAGAAGTTAAATTTACCTGTGAATTAAATTAGTGAGAGGTTCTATTAGTTTTTTTCCCAATCGAGGTTCCAAAGGAGTTAGTGCCCCAAACTTCAGAAAAGAAAACCATGATTTAAAATCTATTTTGAGGTTATTATAAAATGACTGAGAAGTTATTCTTACCAATTTAATTATTTTTATAAGCATCCAATTATTTGTTGATGTTGTCATCAACTTGAAAAACACAGGTGCTAAAGATAAATAGTTTTTTGGATTTTTACGAGCTAGCTCACAAACCACATTTACAGCAGCTGATTGTACTCCTATTTATATTCAAAAGCAAATATCATAATTTGTTTTAAAGCTTAAAAAATTAATTTAAAATAATCCTAAACCATAAAAACATATTTGTAATCAATAAATGTGAAAGACAAGTTCAAATAAAAATACATAATGTAGCAATGTAATAATAATCTTACCAGGATCTGGATCTTCCAATTTTTCTTTTAATTTTGGAAAAGCAGGCCTTAAAGCTTCTGGAAACCTCAAAAATACTTTATACATCATCAATACAGCTTTCATTCGCAAGTATGGTTTTGTTGAGCTCATCTAAAAAAAATTAAATGATTGAAAGAGTCATATATACAAAATGTAATATTAAATCTTAAATCTATGTATAAATAAAATGAATTGTTTATATTAAATTGAATTATATTAAATTGAATTAAATACTTACTAAAGTCATTATATCATTAGCTAAGTCTCTTGACAAATCTGGAGATATAAAACAACTGAGTCCACTCAAAGCCAAGCCAGCGTCATATTGATTTTGAGAGTTTAAATCTTTTCGAACCATATTTGTAGTTAACATCAGTAACTATTGAAAGTGTGTAAAATAGTTTAAAATTTTCAAGATAAATTTATTTATAATTAAAATTATATAATTCTATATTATAAAATTATATTTACATCTGTATCTGTGTGAAATGATTGAGAGGCTGCTAGATATCCAATTCTCTTGCTAGTAAACTTTGAAGAGCTCATAACTTCAATGATATTAAAACCAGCCCAGGAAATATCATATCCAAGCATTTGCAACTACAAATTTTATAAAAGCACATAATTATCATGAAAATTTATCTACATATTCAAAATTAAGTACAAAAATTAGGAATACTATTTAAAAATAAGTAGTCCCATAATTGAGGATACAACTTTTTACTTATATAATTAAATATGAGTATGAAATATATAAATGTGATAAGGAAATATGTATATAAAGGTGTGCTAATTTTTCCAATTAGATTGTCATATATGATGATAAACTTTAATTTGAATGGTTTCGATGCCTTCTAATAATAGTTTCAAATTAATTCTTACATATGTCAACTTAGCCACAGCATTAGTTTTGACGGAGATGTTGTCCTGCCTTAACTCTATTTTAATTTCTTCCATACATTGTGCTATATATTTCGCCTAAAAATAAGTTTATTTAAAAACAGATAGTCAAATAAATACATTAGTTTAAGCTAACCTTACCTCATTGTCTTTATTATTGCGTATACCTCTCACAAGATCTGTCAAATTTTTATCAAACATACGTTCGAAATTGCCTTTGACTTTCTTTAACGCCATTGTGGAAATATTTTACTTGTTCGTCTTTTTAATGTTAAACACAACCTTAAGTCATTTTATAAGCGAGTTTGATAAACTCTTACTAATCTAACTTTTGATGGAAATTTTCTTATCCTTTATTTGACAGCCCGATCTGGAGTTAACCTACTAATCTTATTATTACATACACTGGAAGCACAGAAATGCTATATTACACATTTTGTGTATTTTAAATTATTTTCTAACATTCTGGCACAAATAATCACTAATTTGTACACCTAATACTCTCATTAAATTTCTACGGACGGAGCGACAGCATTCCACGAGCACATTATTCAAATTCAGCTATCACTTCGTAGCAATGAACTTATGGAGAAACATACGGTGAACTTGTTCTATATGTGCTAGGCGATTTTATATAAAAATTAAATAGAAAATGAATTTAACGAATTTTAAGAATAAATTTAATGAAGTTATTAAATAAACAGTGTATTAACTAAATAGTGTAAATAGTGTATTATCTGAAACAAATATTATTCCGTTCTTGGGTTGAACATGGAGGCGCTAGTAGCGAAAAGTCAAATAGACACATTTAAAAGGAACGTTTTTTTTTAAATTCAAATTGATTTTTTTAAATTCGCAATAACACCGAAATGATTTGTAATTTTTTTGAGGTATGTACGCTGAATCATACATGATTTTTTATTAATCCTTATACAAAGGCATGTTATAATGATACATCAGTAACACATGTTATAATAAAATTAAAATGGCGGAATTAATATATAAAGCCTGAATATGTAAAAGCTTGCACATATTCCAAATTATCAAAAAATTACTTCATTATCCACTGCTAAAATATTTTTTTTATTTATATACACACTTTATAACAGCAATCAGAACTTAACTAGTCCTATGAGCTGTTATGTCGACTTAAACGTTGTGGCTTTATAAATAGCGACCAAAATATTTTTTGTAATAACAATGAATATTTTTATTGATACAGAGAATTGTCGGAAGTAAAGACCGCTCTTACTTCTGCTTAACATCAGGTTGCCCGGAGCGGATATTAAGCATTGAAGCACTAATTCCAAGTCTATTGCCCTAACCACCAGGCCACGAGAAAGCCGATACTAAAATTCTATGGAAAATATACACTAAGAATTGCATTTCAGGAGAATTTTAGGAAACAGTAAGTAATAAGCTCTAATTTAACAACAAACTCTTTTTCTAACAATTGTTCTATTACAAAATGTTGAAACAAATTAAAATAATACATAATAAAAAATCATATATTTCAGTTACATTTTATAATTTCAATTTTCAAAATGCATATTTTTAAATATATAACCTAATATATTCAAGCCATGGTATAAAAATATCAAATCTTCATAATAACCAAAAGCATTTTACTCATTTTAGCTAATCGAACATAATCATTTTTCTTGTTAAGTAGATGAATTATAAAATTTGTTTCTTAATGTAAACTATTCTAAGAGTTTTAGATTTAAATTATATAAATGAATATATGAAATGTCATGAAAATGTACAAAGTGAAAAATTGTATTTTATATTCTGACTGATTTTTTCTTTAGCGTCAATTCTAGCTGCTCTGCAATCGCTTCTAGAAAATCTGTTGTGTTCAAATACATGTCATCTGTAACATTTGGAAGTCCATGAATACAAGCTGCTAAATCTTTAGTCATTCTTCCACTCTCCACGCAATCGACACATGCTTGTTCTAAAGCATTTGCAAATTGTAGAAGTTCTGGTGTATCATCCAACGTTGCCCGGTGAGCTAGACCGCGGGTCCAGGCAAATATGGACGCTATTGGATTTGTTGATGTTGACTGCCCTTTTTGGTGCAGCCTGAAAAAAGGAGCAAAAGCACTTAATATAACAAACCAAAAATTTAATCGATGATTTCTGGAAATAATGAAAGCTTAATAAGTTGTAGTTTGTTAAAAACTATTTTATACTTGTATAGACAAGAGCCATTTATAATTTACAAAGATTAACTTTAAATTGACCAAAAGATATAAAAATATGGATTACCTATAATGACGAGTGACTGTGCCATGAGCCGCCTCAGACTCAATTGTTTTACCATCAGGACACATGAGTACTGAAGTCATCATACCTAAAGATCCATATCCTTGTGCAACAATGTCACTCTGTACATCACCATCATAGTTTTTGCATGCCCACACAAATGCTCCGGAAGACTTCAATGCTTGAGCAACCATATCATCAATAAGACGATGTTCATACCAGATTCCTGCTTCTTCGTACTTCTTTTTGTAATCCCTGATGATATGAAGCAATGTAATGAGCATTCATTATAAATCCATATATAAATAAAAGATAAGAGAATTAAATATTATCAGTCATAACCTATTTAATTAAAAATCTAGAATAACATGGTTATCTCATCGATTTAGAAGATTATGATGATAATTAGCCAATTTCAATATATAAATCTCATAGATCATAAACGGATAAAATCGCTTTTCTATATATCTTTTCACAAATATTTCTATAATGTATAATTAATAATTATCAAATTACTTCTCATAAACTTCTTGGAAAATGTCCTTAAATCTGCCGTCATAACGTTTCAATATTGTATTTTTTGTGGACAAATATAGTGGCCATTTCTTACTGTATGCCATTTGCAAAGACGAATGAGCAAACGATCTAATAGATTCGTCAGTATTGTACATTCCTGGAAAAAAATTATGTATTTGTAGATGTTCAAAATTATAATGTTATGAATGACTTGCAGTTAATTTAATAATATACCTAACGCTACACCACCAGCCTTATACTGGAAAAGTTCATATCGTTTCTCTTCTCCTGAAGTGCTGGTAAATACCATTTCTACTAAACCAGGTTCATTTACTACAAAATCTTTAGCTTTATATTGATCACCATGCGCATGACGGCCTGTAAAACATTGCTCATCAAATATTGCTTCTCATATATTAACTCTCGAAAAAATTACCTATTATAATAGGTTTAGTCCATCCAGGTACAAGACGAGGTATATTTTTACAAAGAATGGGTTCACGGAACACTGTTCCGCCCAGTATATTACGAATGGTTCCATTTGGACTGAGCCACATCTTCTTTAATTTAAATTCTGGAAAATGATTTTATTAATATCTTTATAGTATCAGATTTAAAACACTTACTTACCAGCTACTCTTGCCTCATCAGGGGTAATTGTCGCACATTTTATGCCGACATTGTGTTTTAAAATTGCTTGAGCGGCATCCACAGTTACTTTATCATCGGTGGCATCTCTATGTGGCAAACCCAAATCATAATACAAACATTCTACCTGTATTCAATTACAAGAGATAAGTCAAATGGCATAGTGATTGTGATAATATACAAATAATGCCGATATAACCTTAACATATGGAAAAATGAGTTGCTCTTTAATTTTAGCCCAGATGATCCTAGTCATCTCGTCACCATCCATTTCGACCACTGGCTTAGCTGCTTGGACCCTTGTGGCATCTTTCAAAGATAGAATTGGAATTGAATTGAAATGAACAGTAAATTTAAAAAAAATAATTGGAAAACCATTGAGAAACGAAAGTTAAATTCGTTTACAAAAAGATGTAATTATGTTACATACAATTACTAAAGGTAATTAAACTTAAATTTGATTTGTCAAATCATTCAATTTTAATATACACAATGAATTGAATAAACCTTTTAAAATTTGATGTGACCATCAAATAATGCCTGACATCATAGAAGTTCTATACGTTTCAAGAAATGCTGAAGATTTTCTGGGTTGCAATGAAATTTCGAGAGATCATTATCGCATAATAAAATGTAAGCAAATAAAAAACAAGTGAATTCTCGTATAATGCATATATTCAAATATGTGATCATGCGATCCATTCAAAGGCAAATGTACATTTAAATTAATATTTAAATTTTGCGCAAATATTTAAGACTGGGATGACAAAACATGCACATTAAACAATATGCATAATAAAAGCTGAAACAATATTCTTAAATACTATTTGCCTAAAGAAAAATATATTGAAATAACATCTATCTGCTGTTCATTACATTTAAAGTAATATTTATATAGTTTCATGAATTTAATACAATGAAATACAAGCCATTCAGTTATTTGGAAAAAACAATGAATAATTTCCGTCAGAAACAAAACACAAATCCATCTGTCAGATGGGGTCCCAACAAAATCCGTTCTTTTAAACACATTTTAGACAACTAATCAAAATTCATGCAATAGTTTTCCTTTTCTAAATTTTCCGTCTTAACTCCCAACTTTTTCTAAATGTCTGTTCGCTTCGTTTCTGGAAATAGTCCGCTAATGAATTTGCAATGAACTCTCCCTGTTGGAACAAATGGGGTAGTAAAGAACCTACTGCAAAATGGTGGCATTACGGTGCTGCAGCAGCAGGTAATCTTAACTTATACAAATTATTAGTTTGTAAACAATAGTTTGGTTTATTTATTCCTTTGCGAGAACAACGAATGAAATTAAACATAGCTTGAATTCAAACTGTGTAGTTTTTTTGCTAAATAATTAAAACTGTGAATGGGAAAAAACTCCCAGTTAAGTTAGTCAATATGCTTTTAACCGTATTTGACCTATTAATGTCAAAAAAAATACAGAAAGTACAGATGTATAAGCCTGCATAATAAGGTTTAACCGCAGTGTGCATGATTTTTAAAATATGATTAATTTTTATCATAGTCGCAACTGTGTTGACGCACCCCTTGGATCTGCTCAAGGTGCATTTGCAGACGGCTGATACCTGGTTCGGCGAAGAAACGTGTAAGGCACAAGAGCCTCGACCAGTTTGTAAACCAGTACCCCCTAACGAAGGTTCTAGTTGCTCACAATGTATGAGTGTGGAAACGAACGATTATTGTCCGCCAAGACGCAGGCCGGCGGTTATGCCACCGGAACCTAATACACCTCCATCTCGGACGCTTAGTGGAGCATTTATGCGAGTCTATAACACTAATGGTAATATTTGATAACCATGTAATTATTGTATTAAAACTGCTGTGTCTTAGTATGTTGTAATAAACATATTAGGGTGCGTCCATTAATCACGTGAGAATTTTAGGGAAAGGGGGGGTTTGACAAAAAATCACGAAATATCACGTGGGGGAGGGAGGGGTATAGCAAGATATCACGTGTATTTGTTTTTTAACTGATTTTTTTTAAATAAATCAAACATTTTCAAAAAAAAAAAAAAATTTTACAGTTATCTCGTAACTAAAAATACACGTGATGTTTGTGGGGAAGGGAGGGTAATTTTGAATATCATCATGGATCACCAAGGGGGAGGAGGAGTCCAAAAATCCTTAAAAACTCGGTCATGTGATTAATGGGCACCCCCTTACAATCTCGTAATGTTACTATGGGAATAATTAACCAAATTATTTTGAAGATATATTATTTTGAATTTTTGGTAATACATCAATAGGTTATAAAAAATAAGTAGGATCTCTTTAAATCAACACTGTGCAATTTCTAGTACAGATAGAAAGCAGATGCAAAAAGCATATTGTGTTGTCAAATTAGATTTCTTGTAATAAAATATTGCGTAGTTCTAAATTACTATCATAAAATATTATGTGACTTTCAGGATTGTTGGCACTTTACACAGGGCTTAGTGCAGCAATGTTACGTCAACTCGTGTATGCAACTGTACGCTTTGGTGCATATGAGACCATTAAACAATACCATTTTAAACAGGTTTCCAATGTCTTTTTTTCAAATATAATATATCACTAATATAATTTAATGATAATGCATATGTAAATAATTTTGTTTTAGGAGAATCGCGAGCCCTATAATTATGAGCTTATTTTAATGGCTGGCGCTGCTGGTGCGTTGGCAGGCTTCCTGGGTGCTCCGGCAGAATTGGTCAATGTTCGGATGCAAAATGATATCAAGATTCCTTTAACGTGCAGACGCTTTTATAGAAATGGCATTCAAGGATTATTCAATGTTATGAATTGTGAGGGTTTTACAGCGTAAGTTAATTTCGAATGTAATATAAAATATCAAAAAACTACAAGTGAAAACGTACGTATTCGTAACTTATTTTGAATGAAAATGCATCGTATATCGAATATTTACGAATGCTAGTTTCTGCTAAAGAAAAAAATTATTCAAAGGCGTACATATAGCTTACGCATGAATTAATTTAAAAGTTTTTGTTGAAATGATTTGTGATAGAGTCGTAATTTAGAATAAATGTAACAAGTAACATTAAGAAAATAAGAGAAAATAATTGCGTAGTATATAATATAAAGTAATATTGATAGTGCTATAATATAATAATAAGATAAGTGTCCTCAAAACAAAATTAATATGTTCGAAAAACTTGGTGATAACAAAAACACATAAAAATACGATTGTTAAAACTAACCGACTTCAAGTTTATTAACTTCCCGTAGGGCAAGTTATAGTAATCGCAAAAAAATCGAAAATGAAAATTTGTATATATCTTTACGTTTCAGAGGTTTCTGAATATTTTGGCATACCTTAGAAAAAATGGATGTATGTGATGTGTGTGTGTATGTTGGTGTAGGTGTGTGTGTGCGTGATACAATTTTCGATGACGATTTCGGGAAACAAGGATGAAGAGCGTCCGATTTGAATAATTCAAAAAACATTTTACTTGTATTGACAAGATAAAGAATTAATCATTTTCATGAAGGCAGATCTAGCGATTTCGGAGATCTAACAAAAAAAGTAAAAAAAATGCCATTTGACGGTCAAAAATGATCATTAGACATATGCACATCAAATTATCAGATATTTTATAGACATTTTAACAATAAGTATAAATTTTGTTTACATTCCCATGGATTCCGTACCAATGTTTACGCGTTAGAAGGCGACGCGGCGCTTACGCGCTTCGATATTTCGTCTTTATGCAGTTAAAACAGTACGATTGCTTTGAAAAAAAGTTCAGAATTTCCAAAATATTTCAAAATAAATGATTTAATATGGTTCGAAATTTTATTAAAAGTTTTAAATCATTAATTAACTTGTATTGATTATTATTGATTATTTTTAATTACTCAAATTTTGAATTGCGGTACGGGAAGTTCCAGCAATTTGCCTTAAGGCACGATGCCTTAATTGCCTTAAGACAGAATTCCACTTACAGCTAGTTTAAATTTTGCAGTCTTTTCCGGGGTGCCATAGCTGCGTCAATGCGTTCCGCGCTTATCGGCATCGGTCAGATGGCCGTTTATGATATCGCTAAGCGTGAAATGGTCAAACGTGGCCAAAAGGACGACACGACCACACATTTGGCAGCCGGAGTTGCAGCCGCAATGGTCGGTACGGCACTAGCACTACCGTTGGACGTGGTGAAAACGCGAGCGATGGCAGCCCCGGCCAATGAACGCGTGGGATTGCTCTGTGGCGCTGAATCTCTATACAATGCTTACGGAATCACAGGTATAAAAATTTACACTAACGTTCAATTGAACAATGTTTATAGGTGTCAATAAATTTATAATGCAAATTAACGCAGCAATGAGATGCTAACAATTTTGCATTCAAATTAAACGCCCACTTTTATGATCACTTTTTGTCGTTTATATGAACGGCTTGCTTTTAATGCAAAATCGGAAGAAAAGCAAAAAACTAAGACAAAAGTCCACCTAGGCCCAATTACTTATTATTCTACAACAATAATGAAATAATAAAAAAGTATATTAGAATACGAAAACAAACTTTGTGAATAAATATTTTATTGGTATTATCTCCTTAACATTACAAAATAATTTGCTCTAAAAATAACTTATTGTTCCAAGTGAAAAATTGTAATTGAAGAATATGAATAATGCAAAAAAAGTTGCATGATCATAAGTTGCATGTTATTTTATCAATAGTAAAGTTCAATTTGTTAAAAAAAAAAACAGAAATAATGAGCAACGTGCGTCTGATTCGCTTCGTGAGGCCCCGGCCTTTGTGTTGATGTGAACTTTCCGTTTTTTAATCATTATTAAATTATTATTTACTTGTTTATCAGTCAAACCGTCACTGACATGGCCAATTCTAAACTAAATATTTCATAAACAGAGCTGGACTAATAATTTAGTTTAGTAAAGCGCAGTTTAAGATTTTCAATATACTAAAAAATTACAATTTTCTTAAATATATTTCAAGTAAAATCTAAATTATTCATAATCCAAGACAAGACGTCCGCAATTATGTAATTAATTACTCAACAAATACTGATAGCGAATACACGTTATACCAATTATGTTGGTCACTCAAATAAATGTTTAATTGCAGCATTTACTTATTTAATATTGCTTTAAACGATAAATTAAACATTTCATACTTCCCAGGTCTCTACCGAGGTTTTGTACCGGCTATGTTGCGCGTATTACCTCAAACTCTTATTACATTTTTATTAATGGAGCAACTGCGGACACGATATGGAGTTGTAGAAAATTAGCAACAAATGAAATAAACGAAAATGTAAAAAAATCGCAAAATGGTAAATATTAGAGCCACCCAGCGGCCGTCGACATAATATAGAAAGAACGAAGTGTTAAACTAATTTGAGCCATGAAACGAAATTTCTTCCAATAATTGCATATCATGGCAGACTTGGTTCGAAGCACAGGGATGTACTTCGGCATCGCGATTATTGAAAGCACCAGAAATCTTTGGTTTACATATGCATTTGTGTGCGTTGTATGTCCCTTATGTACCTTTATTTATATTTAAAAACTGAACCCCATAGAAACAAACTGTTCTTATTTTTAAAAAAAATCCAGGAAGTATATTAATGAAAAAGTCCTTAAAAATTGATGAAATTAATTCTACTTGTAATTATCACTGATGCTGTATTTTTGAAGTTATAAATTGTATTACACATTGTCACAGCATAGCATGTCGTTTTTATTTAAAAAATACCAATAAATACTAATTTCTTCCAAGAAATGTTATCACCATTCATATCTGTTGTATGACGTTTTTTCCTCTACATGAACATATAAATAAATGTCGTCACTTTTAACCGTCTTATCAATTGAAACGGAATTACGCGCTGCTTATCATAAGTGTAATCATATTATCTATATATTTTAATTGATCTGCTAAAGTGCATATTAAAAATGTGCATGATTTGTTTGGACTTGAAACAATCCCAAAGGTCTTGTTTTAGTTAAGATTATTAGACATCTTATCGTAAAAATTAAATAAGTAAGCGATAAAATGGGACGCGATAGTTGTAATTGAAACTAATAATGATAGTAATAGTGGCCTAAATCGAGTTAAGTTGATAAAAGAGGAAAGATTGTTTTGGGCAGTTAAATGTTATTTTTTGAAGTTTTGGTATGAAGTGGACTGATAGTAGTAAATAAATTGATATATATATATATATATATATATATATATATATATACATATAATGGGTAGCACTGCCCTAGGGTAGGTCCGTGAGCTGGGTTAAACTCCAGCTCGATTCAGGGAAGAATAGTGTGAGAGATTTCCCATTGCCATTTCACACCGCAGTGCCCGAAATGGGCTATTTTCAATGGGTTATTTGAACATTTTTTATCAATATTTTCAAGTAAAAATCGACATCGCAACTGCACGATGTCAGGTTGTCCAGAGCGGGGTTCGAACTCATGGCCCCGTCCACACGAGTCCGTGAGCTCAACCACTATATATATATATATATATATATATATATATATATATATAGTATCAATCAATAAAAAGCAAAATAACTTATTAAAATTAATTTTAAATTTATCCTGAACACGTGTATTAACTAAAATTCAATAATATGTGCATATATATATACATTTTTAAAGATAAATACTTTATTTTACATCATATTTTAGCTAACTCTTAAAAAGAAAAGAAATTTAAAGAAAAAAATATATAAATATATATCTAACTCTAATAAACATATTGAATAATTTTATTAGGAATTATGTCAATTTACTAATTTAAAAACCATGTCATATCATGTAAGAAACTAAAAACATTAAAATGAGTATGTCATATAACTAAATATATTCCATGCAAGATGTAAACAACCCTTTCTAATACGACCCTGCCTATATGGCAATTCCCTCACTTTCACATAACCTACAAATATATTAAAAATACTCACAATTCTTTGTTGTCAAAAATTGTCTAAAAATATTATTATTCTGTTTTTTCACGTATTTAATATTTCCACTGAGTTTAGTTAATGTACCGGCCATCATAAGAATTAATTTATAAAACACGAATGCACTTTTAGCCAGCTACTGGACGATAACGATTCAAAACAACGCAGCGTCTGCAAGTGTCTGTCTGGCTTCGTGTATATAGTGGACGAACTAATTACGGAATCATTCGAACTGCGCCGAATCAGCCCGACGCTAGAATTAAGATCCTTTCATGACGGGGATGACGCAGTTTAAGATGTTGTCACGTGAAAAAATACTAATTTGAAATGTCGACTTTTACATTTTATTTATTTCTCCAACAATTACGCAATTATCATTTATGCTTTATCATTTTATCACGAGTTCAACTTTAATTACAATGAGTGCTTAGTGCTTTAGAAGTATCATAATCACAATCCAAATATTTTGAAAAAGCTTAAAAACGCCGTTTATTTTTGTCTTAATTGTTATTGCTGTAACATTGGTTCAAAATATTTACTAGCGTTTATCTGTGTATACAAACAAGAATATGCGAAAACAATATATAAATAACCATCTAAGACTGAGTTGATTGCAAACTCAATAAATTTTTAATTTATTTTTATCTATTGCATTAATTTTTTTATTCATATTTTATAACTTCCCGTAGGGTAAGTTATAGTAATTGCAAAAAAATCGAAAATGAAAATTTTTATATATCTTTACGTTTCAAAACCTTCTGAACATTTGGCATACCTGAGAAAAAATGGGTATGTGTGTGTGTATGTGTGTGCGTGTGTGTATGTGTGTGCGGATACAAATTTTCGTCGACGATTTCGGGAACACGGGTCAACCGATTCGAATAATTCAGAAAACATTCGATTCGTATTGATAAGGAGACGTGCTGATTAGTTTTTGGCGAAAGCAGGTCTAGCCGTTCCAAAGATACGAGGCAAAAAGTGCCAAAAACGGTAACTCAGTTTTTAAGAGAACGGAGCGTCCGATTTTAATAATTCACAAAACATTTTACTTGTATTGACAAGATGAAGAATTGATCAAATTTTCATAAAGGCAGGTCTAGCGGTTTTGGAGATCTAATGAAAAAAGTAAAAAAAAATGACATTTGGCGGTCAAAAATGATCATTAGACATATGCATAGCAAATTATCAGATATTTTATAGAGATTTTAACAATAAGTATAAATTTTGTTTGCATTCCTATGGGTTCCGTACCAATGTTTATTCGTTAGACGACGACGCGGTACTTACGCGCTTTGACATTTTGTCTCTATGCAGTTGAAGCAGTACGATTGCTTTGAAAAAAAGTTCAAAATTAACAAAATATGTCAAAATAAAAAAAAAATTCCTTACAAAAAAAAATGTTTTTTCAAAAAAGTCAAATTCATGGTTTCTCAAAAATCTAATTGTTTCGAAGTAAAATTTTTTCAAAAATGTTAATCGTTTTCAAAATAATAATAATATTTGCTACGAGAAGTTCCAGCAATTTGCCTTAAGGCTAAATGCCATGCGCCCCACTAGTTATAAATCCTAACTAACCATGTTTAATAAAAAATATGACTTTATCTCTTTCGTCTTTTTGTCCTTTTTTGTGTCGAAAAACAAGTTATGTTCTTGTATTTTGGGTGTTTCTTGCTGTGTCCTTGGGATCTGATTTATAGAGTCACGTAGGCACCACACATCAAAGTTTTAGAAACAGTCTGTAGGTCTGTAGTATGCGTCACCCCAAAAGTCTGGCTATGCCAATGAACAGATAAAATTTTATTTGACTTGGGTTTCAATCGTATTCTCAGTTTACAGTTCACAACACGTTGGATATGTAGAGAAGCTTATATAATAAAAATATTTCGACATACTTTTTATCTTAAAATGGTTTCAAATTGCATGAAGTATCATTTTTATAAAATGAAAATTTTAAAAAAATTATAATAAATCGAATGAGAGAAATTCTTAGCGAAAGAGTTAACTGTTAAATAACCCTGTTGTAAATATAACTAGCTGTAAGTGGAATTCTGTCTTAAGGCAATTAAGGCATCGTGCCTTAAGGCAAATTGCTGGAGCTTCCCGTACCGCAATTCAAAATTCGAGTAATTAAAAATAATCAATAATGATCAATAAAAGTTGATCAATGATTTCAAACTTTTAATAGAATTTCGAATCATTTTAAATAATTCTATCTTAAATCATTTATTTTGAAATATTTTCGAAATTCTGAACTTTTTTTCAAAGCAATCGTACTGCTTTAACTGCATAAAGACGAAATATCGAAGCGTCTTTGCATATGTCTAATGATCATTTTTGACCGTCAAATGGCATTTTTTTCTCCTTTTTTTACTAGATCTCCGAAACGGCTAGGCCTGCCTTCATGAAAATTTGATAAGTTCTTCATCTTGCTAATACAAGTAAAATGTTTTTTGAATTATTCAAATCGGACGCTCCGTTCTCTTAAAAACTGTGTAACCGTTTTTGGCACTTTTTGCCCCGTATCTTTGGAACGGCTAGACCTGCCTTCGCCAAAAACTAATGAGCACGTCTCCTTATGTATAATCGAATGTTTTTTGAATTAATCAAATCGCTTCATCCGTGTTCCCGAAATCGTCGACGAAAATTTGTATCCGAACACACACACACACACATACATCCATTCTTTCTAAGGCATGCCAAAATGTTCAGAAGGTTTTGAAACGTAAAGATATATAAAAATTTTCATTTTCGATTTTTTTGCGATTACTATAACTTGCCCTACGAGAAGTTAAAAATTGATGAAATTTTCTAAAAATAAATAATAATAATAATCCATATAAGATAATTTCTTGATTATCTTAATTGATTTTGTAAATCTACTGAAAATGTTATAAATTTAACGAAACGTTTGGAACATTAAAGACTTCCATAAATCTTTCACTTTCTATTCATTTGATAGCCTTAGAAAAATTTGTTCATATTTCTTTCAATCTGTTTTAGTATATATCGAACATGATATAAAATTATGACTTTTGAATATATGCATACCTCACAAAAAATACCTTATATATATTTTGATCAGTATCAAGGGAATGTTCACCAGTAATTTAAAAGCATATCATTTTGCAAAAGAAGATAATTTTAAAACTGCATCAAACACGGTCTAATTACATCGTATCACATTCACTTTATGCAGAGTGGGTTGCACATTTATGCACTTTCTCTGCCATTCTAGCACCCGAATGAAAATAAACCAGAATAGATTACATATGTCTGTATTTGAACATATGTATTGATAATAATGCCTGCATATATTTATATAATTAAAATGAAATATATTAGAGCGTTGTCTTAACCGTATGCTTCATATTAGTATATTTTCTGTATATTAGGACGAAACGACGATCTCAATGAATTTTTTATTTTGCCTCTGCACGAGAGATCAGTCTTCGCCAGACGGTCGAACAGGAGAGAGCTCGCTTAAAACAGAGACCATAATAAATACCGTTGTGTCTAAAATATATTTCTACAGCACAATATTTATCCTGAATTAGATTAAATACATAACTTAAGGTGATAATATTAATTAATATTTTTTGTTCATGGTTATCTGTAATTTTGTGTACTTTATTTTAGTATCACGTTGTGTTTGTTGTGACGCGCCGGTCTGTTGATCAATATACGATGTGCATAGAGCGCATTTGTTCTATATATTGGTATGATAGTACTATTAACAGGGTAGTATCAGATGTATAATTGTTAAGAATTCAGCCTGTTGCTATTCAAGTGAGAATGCTTGTGTTTAAAGGTTAAATTGGGGTTATTTTGATAAGGAAGCCTTCATCAGTGTTACATAAATGTATTCTTATGCAGTACTGTATTAAAGTACGGATAATTAAATTTAATAAAATACTTCACATTAAATTCATTCTTTTAATAATTGTTAGAAGCCATAACATCGTTAATATATTTGCACTATGAGAGTTTGCACAAATAATTAGCTTATTGTCTTATAATGAATTTCAATATCACTTTATTCAACTCATATCATAACGGTTTTATTCTACAAACTTAATAATTTTTAATTATTTGATTTATTAAATTGAATTATTTTACATATAAAATTTAACTTTCACTTTATTTTATTACTAGCAAAATGCGTTGTGTGTTATATTCAATTTGAGTTTAATGCTTAATAAATTGATCATCATAATAATATTCTATACATATTTTTTAACGTCGATGGTAAATTTTAAAAACTAACATTTTTGCTATATATTCAGCACAATCTTCTTATCGTATGTAGATATGCGTTGATTAAACTCGTTGTGCCTATCTTTTATTGATAAAAGTAATTTCACTTAGGAACTCGAGTGATATATATTTTCACTCATTTTGTTCAGATGCTGAATCTGAAATCTTGGGGTTAGTTACTAGGTCGTTAAGAACAAAAAGGTCAACCAATAACAATATTTATTACCATAATATCGATAACATAAAATATACTTATTTTTTGAGACCACATTATATAACACAGGCCTACAAAGATTTTTTTTGTTTGGTGCATCAAATGTTAGAGCTGATTCTTATAGTATTTTTTGCGCTGATTTCAAATCTGCAAACCATTTTTTTGTATCAGCTCTAGTTTTGAACTTGGAAATAAGTTGCCGAAACCAGGTCCATTGTAGGTCGTCACGGAAAGAACTTTTCACAGTGTCAACTAATGTCCCAACTAAGGCCGAATGGGTCTTGTAAGTTTGTATGTACGAGTAAGCATATCTCATTAAAATAACATTCTGAATTGTATTACTGTTTTGTACTTTCATTCCTTATATATCATATTTTGAAAACTAAAGCTTATAGAAAAAAAACGTCATTTTTGAAATCAGCGCCTCAAATATACTTAAAAACAGCATTAAAATCGTTTGCATCATTTTCTTTGTTAGCCTGTGTAATTATTCTGAAAAGGTAGTATGTAATCCACAAACACTATAGGACGTCGAAATTATTAAGATCAGTGTGAAACTCTCGTATACACTATATCTTACAATTAGAATTTGATTGAATCATTTAAGTATATGACATCATCTTTCGAGTATGGGTACGCTTGTCTAAATAAATTTACAGTACGTGAAAAATGTTTATAAAATTGATTCAGACTTTTAACGAATCAAACAGTAATCGATTTATTAAAAAAAATTGAAACATTACTATCAAAATTCATTCATCTTACCGCGCTCCTATTTACCGAAATTTTTTAAAAATATATTCATTGCATTTTTATTTATTAAACTTTTTATAGGCATTCGCCTAAGTGGCGATGATGGGAATACCATGGGTACATGTGTCACCCCAACATCCGAACAGGTCGATCCGCCTAATGCTGCTGCTGCGTCGATTCAGTTCTTCAGCACAGGGCACATCATCACCAGCAGGCATACCATACTCGCGTTTGCGAATTGGTGTCCCAAAGGAAACCTGGACTGGTGAAAGACGAGTGGCTCTAAGTCCTGCCGCTGTAAAAACTCTCAGCCAGAAGGGATTTACAGTCACAGTAGAAAATAATGCAGGCGCGGAAGCGTCTTTCAGGAATCCTGATTATGAAGCCGCTGGTGCAAAAGTTTGTGACGCAAAAGAGGCATTGACAGCTGATATTGTATTAAAGGTTTTAAATACAAAATTGATTCATGCTTTGAAACTTCTTTCAAGAATTTTGCTCAAAAAACTGAAATATTTATTTAGGTACGTCAACCGTCTCCAGAGGAAGTACTTGCGTTGCGTGACAAATCAACACTTATGTCATTCTTGTATCCTGCTCAAAATTCAGATCTTATATCACAACTTGCCAAAAGACACGCTACCGTCTTTGCTATGGACTGCATACCAAGAATTTCAAGAGCTCAGGTAAATAATATAAATATGTTTTTCGTCTGAACCGGCAGCAAACATTTTATTTTTGTAGGTATTCGATGCACTTTCTTCTATGGCAAATGTTGCTGGTTATCGTGCAGTGGTTGAAGCAGCTTCTCGATTTCCACGATTTTTTTGCGGTCAAATAACAGCGGCTGGACGAGTTCCGCCTGCTAAAGTGCTAGTCATTGGCGGGGGTGTAGCCGGTCTAGCAGCAGTAGCGCAAGCTAGATGCATGGGGGCGGTTGTTCGGGCCTTTGATACCAGAATGGCTGTCAAAGAACAGGTTTTGTATTCGTATATAATTTAACAAAATTTAATTTTAACTAACCATTTTAATTTATTTCTTAAGGTCGAAAGTATGGGTGCGGAATTTTTAACTGTCGATATTCAAGAGGATGGGTCAACAGCTGGTGGTTATAGTAAGGAAATGAGTAAAGCTTTCATAGACGCAGAACACGCTTTATTCGCAAAACAATGCAAAGAGGTATTATATATATGAACACATAATATATATATATATATATATATATATATATATATATATATATATCCATACAGCACGTGTCAAACAGTGGTCAACCTGTTTGGTTCCATTTACAGCCTACCGGGTTATTATATATATTTTCTGCATTTATATAAAAAAATCTTTTATAGGTCGATGTGATAATTACGACAGCGTTGATACCCGGGAAGAAAGCACCACTTTTATTGTTAAAATCTCACGTGGAGAGTATGAAACCTGGAAGTGTGATTGTTGATTTGGCAGCAGAGGCCGGTGGCAATGCGGAAACGACAAGGCCCGGTGAAGTTTATGTTCACAATGGTGTTGTTCATGTTGGCTTGACTGATCTACCTAGCAGACTTCCTGCACAAAGTTCTTCGTTATACGCGAATAATATCAGCAAATTTTTATTATCTATTGGTCAGTAAGATTTTTAATTATACCTTGTAACTGTTTATGGTAAAATTCAACTGCATTTTTAGTGAAACAAGGGCTTAGTCTATCTATATTTCAAAAGTCGAATTATTAATGATAGAGTAAATAATATTACGTTTACGCAATTTCCATAATAAAACGATTAAATATTTATTTTGCCTTTCCACAAAATCGAATTTACCCCATTCAATTTAAAATGGTACAATTGCATAGCAAGTTGTTTAATAAATAGATTTACTTATTTTTGAATAACTAATGCGTCTTGATTTTATATTGCCATGTGCCTTTGTTGTATTGCCCTACTACGATTACAATGCATACTGACTTTTATTAGTGACTTATTTATATTTCTTTGAACAATACGTGGTTGAACAGTACTGGGTATATTTAGATGCGGCAATGAACTGATATCGCTATATTTATTTTTACTACGTAATGGACATTCTTCGTTATCATTCAAATAGACGCATTTTGTTGATATTCTTTTAAGCAATAGATTTTCAGCTATGTTTTTATAAGTCACTTACTTTATATTTTATTTCTGTGATTCAACTTTTATGAATTTAGCTAACTATTGATATAATTCTTCGAACTTGTTAAAATTAACTTTTAAGTCTGTTTGATTTTTAATTTTTTTCATTATTTACTTTAATGTTTTTTCAGGTGAAAAGGATTATTTTAATATCCGTCTCGAAGATGAAGTAGTGCGTGGAAGTATAATTTTAAAGGAAGGCGAGCTGATGTGGCCTCCACCTCCAATCGCTGTTTCGGCCGCGCCACCGGCTGCCGTTGCTAAAGCGCTAAAAAAGGAAGCTTCAACCGCTGAACCGGAAAAGGTGGATCCTTTTATGAAAGCTTTCAAGGAATGCATGCTTTGCACAACAGGTAAATAAATACATAATCAAAATATTGATATATTAGTTATTACACTATTATTATTACCGCTTTGACCAATTAACCATTATTTTAATTAATGGTTGAGTTATATTTAAAAATTAATCGAATAATTTTATTTCTCTAGATTCCTTATATATGACAAAATTATTTCAGCACTTGGAAGTGTCGTTGCGTTGGGATCTGTATCACCCGGCCCAGCATTCACTGCAATGACTTCTACATTCGCTTTATCGGGATTAGTCGGATATCACACAGTTTGGGGTGTAACACCGGCACTACATTCCCCATTAATGTCTGTCACAAACGCTGTGAGTGGTATTACAGCGGTAGGCGGCATGCTTCTGATGGGTGGCGGTTTAGTTCCACATACACCAGTTCAGTATTTGGCAGCAGGAGCAGCATTTGCTTCCTGTGTCAACATCGCTGGTAAGCAATGAATAAATAAAATATTAAACTTATCAAACGATGATTAAGAAATATTTTTGTTTTATCTGCAGGCGGTTTTTTGGTTACCAGACGTATGTTAGATATGTTCAAACGTCCTGGAGATCCTCCGGAGTATGGTGGTTTGTTTGCACTGCCAGCTGTAGCTTTCTTAGGTGGACATTTGGCAGCTACTCATTATGGTTGTCCCGAAGTACATCAGATGGCTTATTTGGCCGCATCGCTATGCTGTGTAGGAGCACTTGCAGGTCTTTCATCACAGAAAACTGCGCGACTAGGAAATTATTTAGGAATGGTAAGAAATTTTATAACACCTGTTTATTTTTACTGGGATTTTGATAAAAAAATCTCTATACTCTCATATCGTAAATCAGATTGGCGTATCTGGTGGTATAGCTGCAACTTTAGGTCAATTAGCTCCGAATAACGATGTTCTTTTACAAATGGCAGCAGTCGCTGGACTGGGAGGAGGTAAATTACAAATATATCGATTATTAACGTTAAAGTAATAAGTGCAGATTTGGGTTTAATCTTCGTTTTCTGTGAATTTTTATAGGCATCGGTGCCCTCATAGCTAAACGAATTCAGATAACAGACCTACCTCAATTAGTAGCAGGATTTCACAGTTTAGTAGGTTTAGCTGCTGTTCTCACATGTTTCGCAACATTTTTACATGATTATCCATCACTGGCAACTGATCCGTCAGCCTTAGTGCTAAAAACAGCATTATTTTTGGGAACGTATATTGGAGGAGTAACTTTTAGTGGCTCGCTTGTCGCCTACGGCAAATTACAAGGATTACTATCATCCAAGCCATTGTTACTTCCTGGTCGTCACGCTATTAATGGTGGGTTATTAGCTGGAAATGCTTTGGCAATGGCAGCATTCTTTGCAGATGGCACTTTAGGAACAGGAATGGCACTTCTTGGAGGTATAATGATTAATAATTTGATGAAATAATTAATTTTAATTTTTCTTCATATTTATTCTTGATAGGTACTGCTGCAATGTCTACGGCAATGGGTGTTACTCTAACAGCGGCTATTGGTGGAGCCGATATGCCTGTCGTAATAACGGTTTTGAACAGCTATTCGGGGTGGGCATTGTGCGCCGAAGGATTTATGCTAAACAATAATCTTATGACGGTTGTTGGAGCTTTGATCGGGTCTTCTGGTGCAATTTTATCATATATTATGTGCAAAGCAATGAACAGATCACTTCCTAACGTTATCCTAGGTATATTAATAAAAATCAGAAAAAATTATCACATACGTGATATGGTTATAACTTAGTTCATTGATTTTTTTAGGCGGATATGGTACGTCGTCCACTGGTAGTGGACAAGCAGCCGCTATTACTGGCACTCATACCGAAGTTGCAGTTCCAAATGTAATAGATATGATTTCGCAGGCAAGAAAAATCGTTATAACTCCAGGATATGGTTTATGTGTAGCAAAAGCGCAATATCCAATAGCTGAAATGGCGACACTTCTTAAATCACGCGGAAAACAAGTTCGATTTGGCATTCACCCAGTAGCCGGTGAGATAATTGCTTTGATTATTATTGCCAAGAATGCACAGTGAAATTAAAGAAAATAATAAAACAATATTTAAATTTTATAAATGTGCGCTCAAGAAATATTGCAAGAAATAGATATAGAATAATAATAATATCAATAACTAATAACTAATGTTTCTTTCTCTAAATATTATATATAACAGGTCGTATGCCAGGACAACTAAATGTCTTGCTTGCTGAAGCAGGCGTACCTTATGACGACGTTCTTGAAATGGAAGAGATAAATGATGACTTTTCGGAAACAGATCTCGTTCTCGTGATCGGAGCCAATGATACTGTAAATAGTGCGGCTGAGGACGATCCGAACTCTATTATCGCCGGAATGCCGGTATTAAAAGTTTGGAATGCTGATCAGGTATGCTTATGTATTAAAAAATTACCAAAATGAAATATTTCAAAGTTAATACTTCGAACCATTTTTTGTTCTTAATAAAAATCACTTTTGATGTTTATAGGTTGTTGTGATGAAACGATCTCTAGGCGTAGGCTACGCAGCCGTTGATAATCCCGTGTTTTACAAGCCTAATACATCTATGTTGCTTGGGGACGCGAAGAAAACATGTGAAGCATTACTAGAAGGAATTCGAGCGATGGCTTAATTTAATTTTTTTTTCAAGGATATTATAATTAATAAGAAGATAATATTTTTATATTGACTTTAAAAAAAATACAGAATCGCAGAAGGTAAACGATTACGAAAACTTACTTTAAATATCACTATACATTTTGAAATTTTATAGAAAAGAAGAATAAGTTACCGTGAAACATTAAGAAAATCTATTATTTTTAGGACATGTGGTTATACTGAAAGTACTATTAATTTTTTATAAAAAATATATAAAACAATTTACACATTTAGGCAGAATATACTTTTTAAACGTGATAAGTTTAAAACGCCTAGAATATTTGGCAGTCTAATTAGAAAATACTTTTTTCACTTTTATATAAATTAAATTCATGCGATTAAATAAATGATCTAATAGACTGACATTCCTTGTGATTTCTTTATACTTTTATAATTTAGGTTTGAAAAAAATAAATAAAATTTGATGTGCGAATAATATAGATTTAAATAAAATATTAAAATACGCTTGTTTCATTGATTCCGAGTATTATTATTTTCATTTTCTGGATTGTCTGTTTGATCTTGACCACTGCTAGAAACTTCAGCTAATTCTTCTATAGCACCATTTTTGGGGCCTTGATCAGGAGGGTCTCTTCCTGAACACGAGAATTTGCGACAATTAATATATATATATATATATATATATATATATTTATATATATATATATAATAAAAGTGAAAATTATAAAAAAATATTACATTTATTCGATTACTTTCCAATACCAAATATAATAATGATGGATTAAACATCATAATTTACTTTGCGATTTCACTAAAAATAATTAATAGTTGCAAAATATATCTATTTTGATTAATTTAGCGCATCATGTTATGTGAAATAAATTTCAAAAATAATAAGATATTTAAAATAACCTGGAATTCCGACAATATCACTGCGTTCCACGGAGCGCGAGGAAGTTGAAGATCTCTCGGTTTTCTGATCATCTGCCGTTGTGTATGATTGTTGAATATCTTGAGCTGTTGGTGCGCTTGGATCATCATCACTGGCCTTACGGGCCATTGCGATCAGCACAGCTGCCATTTCCGGGCCAGTTTGACGGACTAATATAGATAAAAAGCTATCTGGGCTTTGAAGTAATCGCCATGGTGATTCATATTCAACTACTCGTCCGGCATCCATTACAAGAATCTTTTTAAAATAAATGAAAAAAATCGATAATGAAATACGCAGTGTAAAATAATTTTTTAAATATATTGTCAAAAGCGATCGAATCAAAATCATTTTAAAGTGAAATGATCATTAGTGAAAATATCATTATATAAAAATAACAAAATCCTGATTGTTACAAACATCTGTTTTAAAACACCAGCTCAACGTTATATTCTTATAAGAATATAACAAACTCACTAATACATAGTAATAACTTAATGTGCATTCAACCATGTTCACTGTAAATTCGATTATTATTGCTAAATAATCTTTTACTACCTTATCACAACTCATAACTGTATGCAGCCGATGAGCTATCGTAAAAACGGTGCATTCTTTAAAATGAGTTTGAATTGCAGTCTGTATAAGAAAATCAGTTTTGGCATCAACATTGGCAGTAGCTTCATCTAGAACTAATATACGATTACCACGTACAAGTGCACGTGCTAAACATACTAGTTGTCGTTGACCTATACTTAAATTTCCGCCACCATCGGATAAATTGTGATTTAGACCACCTGAGGATAAGGAACAAATTAAAAGAGATACTAAACATAGTGTACAAGCAACAACATATCATGGATAATGCATCAATCCAAATTTTGGTAATGAACAATACTTTAACACAACTATAATTTACTTATTCATAATACCATAGCTCACCAATTTCAGGCCTTGCAACTTCCAATAATTCAACTTCTCGTAGCGCCGTAAACAATTCGGCATCTGAATGTTCCTCAAATGGATCTAAGTTTTTACGTATGGTTCCTGAGAATAAAACTGGTTCTTGCGGAATTATGCTAATGACACGTCTTAAATCATGAAGACCCATTGTTGATGTAGGCAAATTATCGATCAAAATCTCACCATCCAATGGTGCCATACGAAATAAAGCAGCTATAATTGATGACTTGCCGGCTCCGGTCCGGCCAACGATACCCATCTAGATAAAAGTGACTTATAGCATATTTTCTGTTGAATTCAATATAAAAATAATTTTCTTAATTAAATGAAGTGTATTAAATAACTTTTATCTCAAGTAAGTTTAATTGTCTTTGTTTTGTATAGGTTGTGTACCTTTGTGCGGGCTGGCACCACGAAAGAAAGATTTCTCAACACAGGTTTTGCAGTTGGACTGTATGAAAGAGAAACATCACAAAATTCAACTTTTCCCGTCTTGGGCCAATCATGTGGAGGTTCTGTGCCGGGCGCCTACATAAATCAAGTAAACATCATGAAATATTATATAAATATATATATATATATATATATATATATATATATATTAAAAAGAGAGAGAGAGAGTTATTTTGGTTTAACTCACACTTTTCAAAGCACCTTCGTGATCGATATTTTTATATTCCAAAATCCTCTCTACAGACGTCATTTGAGTTTCCATCTCTGCAGACTGCCTCATACCCCATTGGAAAACACCAGTAAGGGAAATACATTGGGTGATAGCTAAGCCAGCAGCTCCTGCTTTCGAATCTGAATACTCAGTACTTGACAATAAGAAACTGAAAGTCACACAAGCCACAAACAACACGCATCCCAAATCTAACCAGTATCCAAACGCACGGCTAATTCCAATGAATAAATACCTACAAAATGCATATTTCATTATGATTTTACTTTTTAAATATAATGAATGATCGAAAATGTATTATTAAAAATTATTACAACTTTGCCGTTATGAAATATTGATTAAAAGAAGCACGTTTTGTCTTTGAAATAGTAAATTTAAATAGATCTTAATTATTTTATATATTATATTATAAATATTATATAAATATAATAATTTACCAAGAAGAGCTGTGTAAGTCTTGATGGGAATCGAACTCGTCTGACAACCGTCTTTCCATGTGGAAGGATCTTATAGTCGGTAATCCTTGAATACTAGCATTTAAATGTGAAAATACTGGACTTCGTGCTAACAAGAGGTAAATATTATGTTTTTTTTATGATTAGTCTTATCGGTCAAATAAATTCCTTACTAATTCCTTCAAGACGTTTGATACTTGTACTAGTCCGGGCGTACATAGATCTCATCAGCCAGAATCCAATAAGAATAACTACAAGTGGTCCTAAGAGTGTGGGTTCTACAACTGCAACTACAGCTAGTACTCCAAGCATATTGAACGACAATTGTACTGTATCCATCATTGCATAAGGTAATAATTCATCTACTGCCCCCATATCCTAAGTAAAGGCATTTATTTAACAAAATTATCGATTTTTTTATTTATATATACTGGGAGTCATTACCTTAGAAAATCGATTTAAAATTCGTCCTGAAGGGTTGGTGTTGAAAAAACGCATTGTAGCTCGGGATATACTTAAAAACATGTCATCATGTAATCTTAAAAACCAACATAAGTTATGTTATATTTTATTTGTTGCCAAATATCTTATTGTTAGGTTATTTCCTTACTTTACAGATGCTTTAACGCAAACCCAGAAAAACATAAATGATCTTGTTAAAGACGATATTATGATTGTTAAATTTAGTGCGGCATAAATCATGATACAAGTATGAGTATCCATATCTCTGTCACCAGTCATTCTATAATGAACCTTTCAAAAATATAAAATTCAATTTTTATAAAGAATATTTATAAATTATATAATATATATAAATAAATCAAATATAAATGTACCTCTGTGTTCACCCAATATGTGAGCCAACAATCTGTACCACTAACAGATGCTTGTGCTATTAAAAATAACATTATTAATATAACTATCAGAGGCCACTTAACACCAGCACGAAAATAATTTGAATAAATTTGTCCCTTTACTCTTCCATGCGAATGGACTTCAACTTCTTGAGGCGGCCGCTAAAAGTAATTGTTTGTATGATTATAGCACACTTGTTTTAGAAGTACAATAACAAGCAAACCGTTTTAATCTTTTCTGATAAAGAAGCACCGCTTGCACTCAGGCCCATCATAAATTGACGGCTGATTTTTTTGGGTATATTGCTGCCGGCAGGGGTAGTTACAGAAGTACTTGGTTTATCATCTTCTAGCATATCGCCGCATTGCTTGATCTCTTTCATTAATTGAGCAAATTCTTTGCCGCTTTCCTAAAAATTGTACTCTAAAGTACGGACTTTGAGTTGTAATTGCATGAAATTAGAAATATTTACCAAGACCTCGTCAAAACTGCCCTGAGCTTCTATGTAGCCATCGCCCATTAGTATAATGTGTTCGACGTTTTGAAGATATTGCAGTTGATGGGTGACCAGTATTACAGTTTTATCCCTGAGGAAACCAGTAACACAATTTCTAAAAAGTTGAAGTCCTACTTTTGCATCCACCGCGGATAATGGATCATCCAATAGATAAATATCGGCCTAAGTTTTATTTCCGTTTTAGAATTATACCAATAATTAAAAAAGAAATTAGCTGTTTTACTTTTCTGTAAACGGCTCTTGCTAAATTTACTCTTGCTCTTTGTCCACCACTTAATGAAACGCCTCGTTCTCCAACTATAGAATGATCGCCATTTGGAAGGAGTTCAAAATCTCTTTCAAGAGCACACGCTGCTACTGCTGCTCTATAACGCCTTCTCTCATACTCTTGGCCAAATAGTATATTCTGGCGAACTGTACCTAATTGATTAAAACAGTAAAATTTGGAGTTCTTTATGACGTTCTTTATGAAAACTTGCTGTTGGATACATTTTTAATATTATTTTCACCTACGAATAACCAAGGTTCCTGAGAGGCGTAACTCATAGCACCATTTATGCGAGCAAATCCGCTCAGTACTGGTAGTTCTCGTAAAAGTAAATACAGTAAAGATGTTTTACCGCTTCCTACTGGTCCAGTAACTGCGCACAGCGTACCTGGTCTTAAGGTCAATGTCAAATCACGCAAATCGTACTTAGGATCTTCATTGCGCCATTTTGCAAAAGCGTGTAATAAAAATATGCCAGGTGCCATGTCTTCTTCAGATGGAATACGAGAGCGTAATTTCACCTAAATTTGAAATATAATATTAAAAAAACTATGAAAGTGACTTGAATAAACAAAATTAAAATATAATTAACCGGCTCAAGTCTTTTAGTCATAATAATACCTACTGCCTTGTGCCTTATATATAAATTGAAGATTATTTTTGCACCTTTGTACTTAATTCAACTTCTAAAACAGGTTCACGCTGTGGAAGAAAGCGATTCTCATTCAGAACTGCCAATGTACTTAGAGATGGCTTTGGCATTTTAGTTTCATCGGTTATGATATTTTCGCTGTGATCCATAAATGACTGTATGCGCTGCAAAGCTACGCATAATTCTGCTACCTGAGAATAAGCAATACGAATAATAAAATAAGTTCAAAAATTAATGCATTATTAATACATTAGATATATGTATTCACCTGGGCAACCCCTTGTACAAAATATACCGTCATTGCAGTACGCAGTATGTTGTAATAAGCGATAACCATGAACACCTTCAATTTGAAAATAATAAATTGATATATTATTGTATAACATATATTTGTTCTGAATGAAAGTACCTTCTCTGCAGTAAGGTGCCCATACTCAAATAGGACGTAAGATACTAAAGTTACAAATATAGCGCATCTCGTACCAAACATTATAAAAGACATTACAATTCCTCTAATGTAGCCACATCCACGAATTTGTTTCATTTCACTATTGCGTAAATCGTGAACCTGAGTAAATTTTGTATATAATTTTGATTGTATAGTAAAAACATTTTTATACGTTTTATATATATATATATATATATATATATATATATATATATATATATATTCAATATATTTACAAGCCTTTGAAACGGTGGTTCCCATGTATACATTTTGATAACGTCTATACTACGCAAAACTTCGCTCATAATTCTAACTCTTTCGTCAGTTAAACGGGCAGTTCTGTGTCGCAATATGGAAGTGGTGTAAGCCAAAAAGACTAAAAAATACATATATAAATTATTATTTTTAATATATATATATATTTATGTATATAAATTTATATTAATATTCCAAATATTTACTTTGCAAAGGCATTAAAAGTAAAATGAGCAAAATTCCATATAACGCACTGGGTCCAACGTCACTGTATAAAAATACAGTGATTATAAAAGATAATGTAGGACCAACCCAGACATGGTGAAGAAATAAAGGCGCGGTATCAAAACGATTTACATCGTTGGACATTAAATTTACAACTTGCCCGGCCGATGTTTGGCTTAATGCTGATCTGCTTAATCTCAAGACCTGCAGAAAATTATTATTTAAATTATTAAAGAAATAAATAGTTAGCAATTATTGAAGTTAGATTGATATATAAACCTTTCTGTATATAGCAGAACATGTAGCCACGCGAATCTTCATTCCTATATGCATGCATCCCATCAATAATGGATGAGTTACCAAAACAGCCAAGGCAGAGCAGAAAACAACACCACTTGCAAAGAAATATGCTTCTGATCTGGTTATTGCTGATTGATTTTGGGCATGGTAATGAAAAACTCTTTGCATATATGTATACTTGACGCTAACAACAACATTAAAATTACATAATTTCCAATATATAATTATATATATATATATATATATATATATATATATATTAATAATAGACCTATAAAACTTATTGAACTCACGTGTTATTATTTCTGCCATTTTCTTCTGTGAAATATTGAACTAGTAGTCCTAGTAATAATGGTTGATGTAATCTGTAATATTATACAATAGTTAATAATTACAAATTATGATATATACCCACACAGCACATGGTTGACTTAGGGTCAACCTATGGTCGTCACAATGGACTGTAGGGTTAACTTATGGTCAACCCACTGGTACCATATATGAACATAGGTTAACCCATGACGATACTTATGTCAGAGCCCTGGTTTGACCCATGGTCAACCCGATGGGTTCAATACGAGTATGCTACGGGGCTGGAATGGTATCGCGATGGGTCAAAATGGCAGTATATAGTGCAACAATTGCGGCATACTTTCCGTGCGTATTTGTATTAAATATAAACAATCCATATAGTTTATAAAAATATCGAATGAGATAAATATATTTTGTTGATAATAATAATAAAATAATATTACCTAACAATTTCTACTAAAAAGTACAAAAATCCGTATAAAAACAGCTTTAAACCAAATAAGCGAGCCAATACTCTCCACACTCGAGGTCTGCTTTTGCGCATCCTTTCACCAGGACTAACGGGGTGACGGTCGCGCATGTACCTCCATTCAGTGCAAAATTGATCACCTGAAAATTTAAATCTTATTCTCAAATAAATGAGCTAAAGAATAATCTGTAATGCTAATTGTACCAAACAAAAAAATATTATAGTTATTCTAATCTAATGCCGTGTAATACATATATAACATTTTAGATTAGTGTAATGCTAAGCATAAAATACAATTTGCAGTTTATAATCATTAATCATATTTACCCAAATATTGTGATCGGTGCTGTGGAAGAGGTCTATAAAGATCATATTCTTCAAATTCTCGTTGGCATCTTTTGCGAAATATAGGCATAGTCCACCTAGAGATTGAATTACCAAATTTAGAATATAATTGGAATTTAAATTTAATTTTTATAGTAGCTTGGAGTTAAAATAAAACTGAAGTTTTCATTGGCATTTCATTAAAATTGGCTCAGATCTAAAGGATGTCTCTATAGATATCTTAAATTATAATTTGCAACTAGGTTTGCTTTTCGTCGAAATACAATTTCTGTTGCCAACGAAAACGACCGCAGCCAAATAATGACAAAAATATAAATATTTTGTATCCCAGAAAAGCGATTGGAATTTTCGTGAAAATAATAATTTAAAATCATTCTTCACTTACCAAAATAAAACTACTGACAAAGGGTTAGCTACTGATCGTGGATTCGGTTCATCATTATATTCATGCTCGTATGCTATCATTATTATGAATAATTTCTCAATTCGAGAGGGGCAATCAAACACACACCGGATTAAAAGTTAAAAACAATAGTTTATACATAATTTAAAACATGTTTCTAATAATATTAATGCATGTACAGGCAAAAACTTAAAACTAAACATAAATTAATAATAATAACCATTATTTTAATATTTTTGCGGATAATTTTGAAAATTGAAATGAATCACTTATAAATATGAATATAGTACACTATAGTATTCTTTTGTTTCATTTATTCGATTTATACTTTTTTGTGAACTTAAAAATTCTCGTAAATGACACTAAATTTTCTGTTTCCGGCATCTGTCCCGCAATGAATCCCGCAAATCGAGCAAAAGAGGAAGTTGAAATGACTGCTTCTGAAATTATGGAGGCCCACTTCGAACTAGGAGATTTGATGGACTCGTTTAAACCTGGATTATTATATGGCATGGTTACCCCATGCATTAACGTATGTTCTGTTAAGAATATAATAATTAAAGTAGATTTCGATGTTGACAATTATATATTTATTGATATTTTGTATTTCTTGCAATACACAATTTAATATTAGCGAACTAACCAAAAAACAATTTTTTATGCTATCGATAGAACTTAATATTAAATTTTCCAGTTTTTAATTTATTATTTTCTATTAAATTTTTTATTCATTCGATTTAGGACGTTATGACCGTTATGACACTTATGAAACGTATGACATTTGACTTACGTGAAGTGGTTTGCGCTAAACTTGTTTTCAGTATTAAAAGTCAAATTATCACAGTAAGCGTAAAAAAAAACATTTGATAACATGATGAAACATTTTTCTGAATCGCTTACGAATATTCAAAAAATTTAATTAGTTTATTTTAAATAATTTAAAATTCGCGGTCATCTAAATGTCGAACCTAAGCGATCGAAATCGCTTCAGAAAACATAGATGTCATCGAATACGAGTTATGTAAAACGCATTCTGCCAAATGTAGTAATTCTACAGATTATTCCAATAACAAAACTCAAAAAAATCGTAACGATGAGGTTCACTCATTTATCTGCTAAGGTATTATTTGTGTAGAGGCATGATGTATATAAAATAGTGAAAAGATGTTTGTGGTAAAAATAAAATATTCATTAATATGCGGATTCTTCAGGTGCTGAAAGCAATGCTCATTCCGGGGGCCACTTTTTGTGCAGTTCCACTGATGGTCAATCGCGAAGTATGCCAAGGTTCATGCAATTGCCCCAAACTCTGTCGACCATCAGAATTACCAATTTATGGAAACACAGATTGTTGTAAATGGTAAGTAAATAAAATGTAATATGCTGATAACAATTCTCTTGAAATGTTTGGTCATTATAATATTAAGGAACATATACATTTCAGACTAAAATGTCAAGAAATATATACATTTTAAACTTGAAAATTAAGATACATACACATTTTAAATTATTGACATGCCAAATTGAGTAACTGGTGCATAGTATATTAACTTGTACACTGAAAATTTATATATTTTTATTGCTAATTTATTTATACAAAATTGCAGTGCTCAAGATGAGTGCCCACCTGACTCTGAGAGGAGCAAATTAATAACAGAAGAGCCAAGCATACTTGAAAGAAGCATAAGAAACTTACGGGAAGGCTTTACTGACATATATGGAAAATTCCAACAACAGAAAGGTGTCCTTGATGACAAAATCAATGAAGGAACACAAAGTGTAAAATGTAAGTGAAATAATTCAATATCAATTCAATCATCTGCATAAATTAAAACGAATTTACATCATATACTGAATTTGTTCTTTGGCTTCATTTAGGCAATTGCGATCAATGCATAATGAAATCCAGAAGCATCCCTACATTTTTGTAGGACACCAATGTTGCCTATCAACAGTTTCATTATAATGCAATTTCCACTGACAATAGTATTAAGATCTACCACACATCTCCTGCATTTACATTGGTAATCATTTTTATTATACCTAGCATCGCTAATGATAAATAAATATAAGATCTCCATAATCATTATATTAAATTCATACTCTATGAAATGTTTTTCTTGCAAAATTGCATTTTTAAGCAAATAAAATGAATTCTCTATAAATTCATATAATATATATATATAAATAACAAACAAAATCTAAAAATATTTTCAAAAATTTCTATGATAGAACTTCATATGTAAAAAGCAAAATGAATATAAATCACATTTTTCATGTACCTCATTCTTAACAATTTTGCAAGATTTTTTCCAAGTATATGCAAAAAGAATAAAATGCATATTTCTATTATCTAATGTTATTCGTCCCTGACTTAGTGATGCTAGGTCTACAAGCATTTATTATTTCATGTTATTTTTTTATTTTAGGTTTTGTAGTATATCTTCGTGAGGAAGCTAGTGACACACATCGTTTAGGAGCTATAGCAATGGGAGGTGTTGCTGGATTCATCTTAGCTTTGAGGGGAGGATTATTTAGGTGAATTTCAATTTTAAACTATATTTTATTGCAATATTACTCATTTTATGGTTCAATTGAAAGACATAACAGTATTTTTTTATAACATTTTGTAATGCGTTTATTTATAATTAATTATCGACTCAACTTGCAACAAATAAATACTCAAAATCAACTTCCAATTGTTTCAGAAAGTTTATTTATACTTCTGCGGGTGCAGGAGGAATGTATTATATTTGTTATCCAAATGATGCAGAGAGACAAGCTGAGGAAGGCTTAGCTTTAACTAAACAATATGTAAAAATTGCTTACAATTTTATGTATGGAGGTGAGATGTTTTAAGTTATAGGAACTTTGACATATTTTCTTACACAACTTAAAATATTTAATAGCTTTTAATATTAATTTAAATATTTTCCCAATCATTTTACAAGATTTGAATAATTTTTGTATAAAATGGTTTTCAAAATTTAATTTGATAACTTTGAATGCAGTCAAACCTGGGGATGAACCCGTGCCTTTGCCCACTCTGCCCAAACTTCCCACAAATTTAAATGAAACTTTTGAATTTGCTGGGAATTTGGTAATTAAGGTGAAAGAAGCTTTGCTTCCAGACTCTAAAGAAGAAACAGCTGCTAAAGAAGAAAAATAATTTAAGAATTATAGCAGAAGTATTTATATAAATTCATGTGAAAATCTGTCTCTGGCATGGTCATAATTAATCATTTATTTGCATGATTGGATGTTACTCCATAAACCGATGACACTGATACTAAATTAAGTCATCTTTTATTTTTAATTTTCAGAAAACTTGCTCATAATTTTTTTACATTAGTTTTCAATTTGTAAACCATTTATTGTGTGCAAACAAATTAAATTAAAATGATGAAATTATAGAAAAGGAACAATCTTCTGAAGATTCAGAACTTGAAGATAATTATCCTATTTGCCCCGCTCCTGTCCGAGAACCCATCACTATACCACCAGAATGCTATGAGAAATGTGACGATTCAGATAGCTGTTATTACATACCCCCTCCTGACAAATAGCATCCCTCCATTTTGAACATTTTGGATTTTTCTCATTTATTTAGACAGAATATTAGAAAATAACTTGACAGATGTCATTGCGCACACTAAAATTATAGTTGATTTATTTATTACAACCTTCTAAAACTGTTCAATATTTTAATGACATGTAATTAATTAAAATACATTAACATTCATGTAGACAAATAAACATATTTATTCGGTATGTTAAAAAATGTGTGTTTATTTAGTAAATTAAAACTATTTATAGTTTTAGCTAAATTGTACTACTATTTTTTTCATATCGACATTGATATTAAATTAAATAGACTTTAAAAGTAGTAGTTGATTTCTGTGTATTCTCTAGGTAGACAAAAGAAAAATGATGCTATATTTTTTATTCATATAACGCTGTATTGTTATGTAGTGGCCATTAATTTTTTTATATTCAAATTGATAATTATAGGCAAGATGTTATACTCTTCTTTTAACTATGGGCAGGATAAGTCATTTTTTTCATATATTTGCAATTTGCAAACTTATCTATAATGCAAAATAATATATATTATCTAGGATAGAGTATTTGTGAAAAATAACTATTTTACAATGTTTACAATCATTCACGTTACTATTGATTTCATGATTAATTTCTTTAAATTAATTTTGAATTTGAACGGATCAGGAATTGAGAATTACAATAGACAATATAAATTGACGGGATATGACTACGATAGTAAATCTAGTCTTTATGTTGGTAAACCTTATTCATTAAAGTTTCGACACGATTAGCTTAGCATGCAATAGATGTCAGTTTAGCAATTTCATCAAAACGGAGGTCGCAAATTGACAGACTGATACTTGAAAGTCCGAAAATTATTAATATCATTAATTAAAATGGACCAGGGAAAAGCACCAGTTCGCGTTTCACCTCTGATCAAAGTAAGTTTATACTGGTATTAATTGCAATCAATTGAATTGTTTATACATTCTACCATGAAATTTTTGCTCATTATGTAATATTCTAAATAATGTGAGGTTCAGAGCTTTAAGTTTTTTAATAATTGTGATTTCAGTTCGGAAGGTGGAGTTTTCTCGTTGTCGGAATATTATATGGAGCAGCTCATCAAAGCAGACTGGCAAAACGCGAAGTAGGAATTAGAGAAGTCGAAGCTAAACATAAAGCAATTCGGGATGCAAAATTAGCTGAGGAAAAGAAACGAGCTCAAGAAGGTTAGTTTTCTTACAGCATTTAATTAGAATTTTCATGGGATTAATTAATAAAGTAACTTGCAACATTCTTGTTTATATTTTTGTTGATAAAAATTACTATTTACTTTATTTACACATCTTACTTTAATACAAGCTACTATTAACTTTATTCTCACATAAAATCTAAGGATATAGAATTGTATTATGGATTTATATAAAAACTTATCTTGTTGGTATGAAATACAACTGCAAAGCTTCTTAATAAGTTATTCTATTTCAACCAAGTTCATTTTTATAGGGAAAGTAATTATTTCTCATATTTTTTTAACTTACTAAAACTCAAAAAAAAAAAAAAGAGAAGTTGCAAAAAAAAGTTCTGAAGCCCATGTTATATAATAATCAGTGCACATTATTACAAATAAGTAATCGAAATGAATTTATTACAGAGGAAAACAAATACTTCTCTTCACTCTAAACAGATTAGCATTATTAAATAGGAAATGCAGTAACATTCACCATAAGGCGTTAGATGTGCTCTGTAAATTATTCGGATTTTATGTGAAATAAAAAGTTATTATACATACAATTGTTTGTACTTTGTTTTTCTTATATACATATATATATATATATATATATATATATATATATATATATTCTAATGTAAAACATTATTTATATATATAGGTGATATATGAATATGAATAAAATTTCTTAATAATTAAAAAATAATTTCAGTTTTAAATGTGTAGCTTAGTGTAATGGTGAAGAAGTAACTCGACTATGTGTAGCATTACTTCCCTTTGCTCTTAATTCTTTACTGCATTCTAATTGTCTTTCAAGTTGTTCTCTTAAAGCCAATAATTCTCTACTTCTTTGGTAAACTGGGTCCTGCAATTTAAATATATGGCTTTAGTTCAACATTATATGAGAAAGAATTTATTTTATATGAGTAAGCATTAGGAAATACTTATCTTATATAAAATAGTTCATTGAAGTATTCAAAAATATATTTCTTTCGTTATTGCTTGCATGTATTTCTTCGAACGTTACTTTCAATAGTCAATATACTTGAACTAGTCAATTTACTTTTTTTGTTAGGTTTAATGTCATTAACTTGAAACTTTCTGATCCAATTAATGTAGGCTTTAATACTAGATTATATAGTATTTTTTACCTGAGGTCTCATACTAGGATTCCAGCGACAATATAATCCTTTCCATAACTTTATAACACGAATGGAGGCAACTGGAAGTAGAACAGTGGGCCCAGAATCATTGTATAATGGATTTATATATTGCTCTGGATTACAGCTATTTGTATATGACCATAATGATACTGTACGATTCTTAACATCTATAAGTAAAACACAACTATGTTTATGAAAATATACAAATATTAGAACATTTAGTGACATAATTCCAATTTAAAAATATTGTGATATTCAAATAATTTTATGTAAATGAGCTTTTCATACCTTCTTTGACGCGTTCTCTTTCCGTATTACACAGAAAGGTTCCAAAACGACATGAATACAAATGATCAATAACAGTAATCATGAAATGTTCATTGAATTGTAATGCAGTTGGAAATTGTTGACCAACTTGCCATACACAATCCATAAATTGCAGGAATACTGGGGAACGATCAGCATCACTATGATGGTCATCACCATGTCCAACACGCTACAACCACAATGAAAATTAACAAGTTATATTTAATCAAAATCATTTTGATGTAAATTATAAACCTGTTGAAATTTATGACCAAATGACAGCCACTCTTTCTCAATAAGAACTTGGAAACCACGCATAGTGCGATAGTATGGATCTAAAAGTAGCATGGAAAGAGCTGTAAGCTGTGCTGTTCGATCCCAACCATCTGAACAATGCACCATAACTGAACTCCGATGGTTTTCTATCTAATAATAAACCAATTATTAGTTACATTTGTTTAAAAATATTTTTTTAATAATGATGATTGAATAATGATAATTTTATTAATACTTTATCCACAATTCTGACAGCACCAGCAATAATTCCTTTCAAATGTTTTAACCAATAGCATTGTTCTAAATTGGATAACCATTTTGTTTCATCAATGCCTGGGAAACAAAGTTCTTTTAATTTTCTCAGAGATTCTCTCATTACATGGATATTATGGACATCAAGAAAAACCAAGTCAGCATGTATATATGCATCTTCATTTTCATAACTACAAAAATAAGAAATGAATTAATTTTTCTTGTATTTACTTACAAATATATATCATTGTATTTTACCCGCCACCCTTAGCTTTATTTGCAATTGCATTAGCCATCGGTCTTGCGTCAATGATTGATAATTTGTGAGATTGTAAATTTATTTCCATAAGTGTCCTGACATATGTCTCATCATCTGCACTTCGTTTACCACTGACCTCCAAAAAAAATGTATATTATTATCATCTATAATCACAAAAATATGAATTCAAAACCATTAAACTCTTACTCCAACAAGTGGTTGTGAACATCTAGTAATGCTCGCTTGTGAAATGGGATGAATCCATGAAAGAACTGGCAGTCGTCCTCTACTCCTGAAGGCTGCAACAGCTCGAAGATCATCATCAGTACACTGCAAAATTTTGAAGCAAAAAACAGTTGTCTTATTAAAATCTTCATATTTTGTTGAAATAACAATAAGTAAGCCTTATTATGATGTGATGATAGCAGTAAATGAAAACTTACTGAAACAGGAACAGCCCAAACAGAAGGATAACTATCACAAATCTCATATTTATCATTAACTTTAGTTATTCTCCAAGAATCACTATTGCCAATACCCTGAAATTAAGGGACATTAAAGTGTTTCACAAAAATAGATAAATATAGATATATAATAACATACCATTCTTTTAAGTTCTGCTATAGGTTCATAAACGTTCCAACCATTTTCTTTAAATTGTTCCTTGTATGTAAAAGCAAATAGTGATGTTTTGTGTGATAAAGGGAATGCATATTGTTGTAATCGTTCAAAAATACTTCTTCTTGAATGTAATTCTTGTTTATGAGCAAATCTTAAATTTCTCATATCTTTGCAAAATACTTCAATGCCATAACTGTTCTCACCACGAGAACTAGCTCCACCAACTTTTTCAATTCTTGATACCTAATGCAAATTTTGAAGGTTGAAATAAGGTTCAGCATATTATGAAACTTAAAAAGCTTTACACAAACATATTAAATTTTCAGCCCACTGGATAATTGAAAATGCCTAATATATTTAAACTTTAAAGTGAATTAAAATAAAATTTATGAACAATAAAGTTAATTCTTTTTCTAACCACGCCCAAAGGTACATCTAGTATATAATGTTCCCTCTCAGCTGCTTTAAAGTATAATTTATAATTAGTGACAGAGAGCGTTCCTCGAGCTGGCCCACTATATGGACATAGATAAGTAACATCTTTTGATGAACTGACTACCATTTCACCAGAAATTAATGGGATTGCATCTTCAGCCTATAATGATAACAACTTTATGTAAAAAAATAAATAAAATAGATTATATATTATTCAAGGAACGAACTTACCAATTCATTGTTATGCTTTGAATTTAAAGAACTAGACTTTGAATCAGAATCTAATGAGTCTGAACTTACATTTTTAGAGGGTGAAATTACATACATTTCGGTATTTATTAGATCTGTCGAAGCACGTTTGTCCATGATTATTTTAATGTAATACAAATTGATATCATGATATAAATTATTTAAAATATTTGTTTTTTTTTTTTTTTAATATTTCGTTAGTTGTTTGAACTTTCACAGTGTTTAAGCATAAGGGTGTTCAGCTTATTGCAACTATTTTATTCTACAGTTAAATAATAGATAATGTATTTTATATAATAAATAAAATTCCTTAAATGATATTTTTTATCTTTGACACATATACAGTTAACCTATGATTTTAATGTATGTAAAAGTATGAATTGGTGAAATGCCATAATGCAAGTGACAGCCCGTGACAGTTCATTGGTTCATATCCTAGATAGACAATACCCCGTGTTCATATCTGATCTTATTATTCTAAAGTTCATTTATCATTTTATTGTCTTGAAGGATTGAAATGCGGTGAAATATTCTTATGCAAAATTGCTATGATTAGGGCTGATAAGAGCCCTTGCATCATTGCACCCTTTGAAAGAAATGTTTACTGAACCAGGATTAGAATAATCTTATTAGTATAATCTTTACAATGTTAACAATTCAAATGAATAAAAAAATCAAATCCAAATTTTCAATACATTTAACAGCGTTCAGTATATTAAAATGTTTTGGCATCTTTTTATTTACAAATAATAATTAATATACAACTGCAATCAAAATTTAAAAGCAAGTTAAGCAGTATTTTGATAATATCTCTCCAATTTTTGCTATTGGTCACGGTAAGATCATAATTATATTTATCAGAGTAATCTTTTAGAGCAAAGAATATTAAGCGAATTTGATAATTTTTAGTTTTCAAATTTGAATTTTGCGCTTTCAACTTTGTCACTTTGATTCGTTCAGTTCTTCATGGCAGTTTGCTTCGATGGCGGCCATTTTTATAGTGAATTTGTGACAGACGCGTGCAAATTAATTAATTTTTGTTTTTAATTAATTTCCTCATTAGTTATCATTAATTGATGCATTATATTTTTCTACTAATTATGCATATCAATTTGAGATAAAACTCGTTTGTGATGATATGTTTGTAGAGCAGATATGTGACGATGTTCTTCAGCCTTAACTTATCTCTTTCAACATTTTTAATACTTATTATTTTTATAATCAAATATTTTATTTACAGCTTTCGATGTATCCTTTATATTATTATCATTTATAGTATATGCATATCAATTTGAGATAAAACTCGTTTGTGATGATATGTTTTTAGAGCAGATATGTGAAGATGTTCCTCAGTCTTAACTTATGATAATTATCTCTTTCAACATTTACCATTGTAAGCAAATACTTTATTTACAGCTTCCGATGTATCCTTTATATTTATATTGCAATTGTCAAATATGTATAGATGTGTGTTTGTGAGATTCGGAAGGCTGCAAGTACTTCTGTAATGTATCTGTCAAATTTTAGGTCGCCAATTCATTCACAAATTCTCTAATATGTTTGTTGCTTTTTGTCGTGTCGTGTGTTGAGTCACGAAGACTCCACTTGGACATTTGCAAATTATAAATTAAGTGTATAAAGTCTGTGATCAAAGTAGTGTGGTGTAGTGGTTCACAAATGTTCAGCTTTGGGGCTTCTAGCAGATGCTTCAGAGGATTTATTTTGAGGAGGGGATTTGGAATTAATTCTATGCGGAAACGTCAATGTGAGTCCAAGCAAATTTTATACACAACATGTCAATGAATAATTCTCTGAAATCATAAACAGGAATTCGTTGTACAACAAATAATGCACTGATAATGTTCTAAAACATATAACAAATAATTTCTTGTATTTGTAATTAAAACAGCCTGTATGTATTTCAGTGAATATTTGTTGATATGTGCATCATTAATACTTTTGCATATGTATCTGCTAAATGTTTATTTATTTATTTAAAACAATTGTATAGATATCTTATTGATACCGACGCTCATGTCTAAAGCTTAAATTTATTTCTCTTTTCTATTTCTATTTATATTACAGTTTATATATTAGTAAATTTATTTAATAAAGGTTTATATTTGGCATGATATTATGCTTAACTATATTTTATCATTTTATTTGCAATTCTAAAAACGAATAAAATACAATTTACTCTTTATTTATCTCAATTCCTACTTTAGCAGACATATGTGCAAAAATGTTGAATATCACTTGCAGGTTTGTGATACCTATCTGATATTAGACGCACTTTGTTAACTTCCTGTAGGGTAAGTTATTGTAATGGGACAAAAATCGAAATTGAAAATTTTTACATTTCTCGACGTTTTGAAGGTTTCTGAACATTTTGGCATACCTCAGAAAAAATGGATGTGTGTGTGTGTGTGTGAGTGTGTATGTATGTATGGATACAATTTTTCGTCCACGTTTTCGGGCGCACAGATCAACCGATTTGAATGATCCCAAAAACATTCAATTCGTAATGACGGGGAGAAGGGGTGATTAGTTTTTGGCAAACGCAGGTCCAGCGGTTTCGGAGATACAGAGTTAAATGTGCAAAAAATGACAGTTTTTGAGATAACTAAACGTCCGATTTGAATGATTCCAAAAACTTTCTGCTTGTTTTAACAAAATAATTGATTTTGAAAAAAAAATTTTTGCTTCAAAATTATTATTTTTAAAATTTTTTTTTCCAAAAAATTTTTTTTTGTATATCGAAAATAATTCAGATTTTTATTTTAATTCTGTTCTAATATACTTTAAACAAATAATTTCAACTTTCCAATTTAGTTTATATAATTCTTATAAATATTCAACAATGTTACAATATTTATCATAATCTATTTTAAAACATTTAATATTTCTCGATCATTTCGTTACGGTGCGGAAAGTTCCAGCAATTTGCCTTAAGGCACGATGCCATACACCTGACTAGTTTAATTGTTAAATTTGCAAGTGATATTCTATAAGCATAAAAATGATTTTATACAATTCACTATGGAGAAAACTTATTGATTCATATTTGTTTTTGTTCTAGCAAGTGGTATTTTTACATTTTTTAAATTAATATAATACAATAGTTTTTACTTCTCATATGTATCGATTGACATTAATTTATCTTCATTATACTTGCATAAATAATAAATTGAAAGGAAATGTTTCTTCGAGTTCTTCTTGTAAAAGTAACGTGACTTGATTTCGTATCATTTATTTGTTGAGCCACTTTTCGAGTGCTGAGATATATTGTTGGTAATTTGCTACTCTAATGACAACTCTATCTTCAACGAATGTTTTGTCTGAATATCATTCGTGTATGGGATATACAGAAGGGGCCCTGGCATCCCTCCTTGTACAATTCCTAAATTAATGGTATTTCAGGTAGAACTCTAGTTCTGAAGAATCTGTCTATCAGATAACATTTCAACAACAAATATATTTCACATGGCAAAGGTTTTTATTATTCTATAAAGAAAATTCTATAAATTTCTTTTATTATTTTTAAATTTACAAAAAAAATTATTTTACAATACTTTGTGTTATTCTGTGGTAAGGAATTTTAGAATTACAGTTCTAGTACCAAGAATCAGGCGTTTTCTCTGTAGTGATATTGACTGCATGTTCATTCTTATTAATGACAACACGATTGATGGCTTTGATCAAAATATTTAAGACTCAATTATGACTTTCCTAATAGTTATTGATTAAATGCAACTTTTAAAGACTTTCATTGTAATTTTGTTTCAAAATTATTTAATTATATTGCTACTTTGCTAAATATAGATTTTTATTCTTTTATTTCTAAAGTCAATTTTGATCAAGACATGCAATCGGTGATGGTTCGATTAATCCATGTGTTGAGAATTGAATTAAGAATTGCTCAACATGTTTATTATTTGTTTTGCCATATATAATTAGACTTTACTCAATACTGCATTAACTCAACAGATTTTTATAAAAGTATAATGTTCGAATAACTTTGTTTTGAAATTTTTTTAACTATTTATTCTATATTTGCTTTGGCTACTTTTTTAAAATATATTTTTTTGATATTTATAATTTTGTTCTGTCAAAGAGATTTTATTATTTGAGTTGAATGTGGCTTGATTAAAGTTTTAAAGAGTTGATTTGAACAAAACAAAATTTAATTTTAATCACAAGTGCATCATTTCATTCATTATTTAAAGTCTTTGCTTTTCTTTGAATTCTAAAAAATTTTAAAATAAATAAATATATAAATAATTTTTGAAGTTTTCAGTCTATAATTTTTTAGCTTTTATTTTTAAAGTTTTGTTGAATTCAAATCAACTAAAATTGTTTTTGTCTTGAATAATTGTAAAGGTTTCATATGTTCAACAATTTTGATTCGATTAAGATAATTTCTTGCATTTGATTAACATCATATGATCTGTTAATAAAATAATTCTTTCGAATAATTATTTTAAAGATAAAACTTTTCTGAAACTTCTTCGATTTTATTAACATCAATCCAACTTTTAATTAAATAATCTTTTCGATTAATTTTATCAACGCAATATTTACTGAAACCTTTTCGATTATGAAAGACGAGTTATGTATGCATGTTATATCATCCCAAAGCCAACATTTGAATGAATGAGACCCACATTGAAAATTTCATGACGAGAAAATTTTATTGGGGCAAAGTTAAAAATTTTAACTAAGTCCCAGTAATTTTTTCTCGTTGTGAAAATTTCAAAGTGGACTTCATTTCATTCGAGTGTTGGCTTTGGGAATTGGTGAGAGGGAACACTAAAAAACATAAAAAAGTTTCAACGCTGAACAGAAAAGAGAAAAATTCATCTGGGACTTAAGGGGTTTTTTTTTAGGTCCTCCACCTCCCTCCTCCCTCCTCCTTTTTCCCCTTTTTTTCCTTTTTTTTCGCATTTTTTTTCATTTTTTGGTGTTGTTTTTTTTGCATGTTGTCGTTTTTGGGTAGATTTTCGGGTCTGGCATGGACCTTCCGCAATGTGTCCCTCTGCGTGTGACCTGTCGCATCATGAACCTCAGGTTGACCATCACTTTGTGTGTTCGTTTCAGGACCCACCGCGCCTGCCAACAGCCAGTCACCAGCACT